TGAGGTACCCATACGATCGAAAGTATGCGCCAAGTACGGTAGGACGTCGACAAGAACATAAAGTACAGAAAAGTAAGTAAGTAAACATTATTTCTGTTCAGTTAACTTCTTCTATACAACATCTCGATCCCCGGTCGTATACAAAAGTTCAATTGTTGTGTTTGATACTTTGTATCAGACGCTACAACTTACGTGACAACGCAAAGTATGGCGGGAAAATAGCGAAAAATGAAAAAAAAAATCACGTACTTTCGGCTTTCGTTGATTTTTAGAAGGTGTCGATTTCTTGTTGAAGGGCGAGTTTAGATCTAGTCTACGGATATCCACAGACGGAATTCTAAATAAAAGAGTGTATTACACGCACGCGCGCTATGCTAATTGTGATGTAATGTTTGAGTCCAACGCAGCATCATGATAACGTAAATAACGCTGTTTACAAAAGTGACGTCAGGGCTTGGTGCCCATGGCAACGAGATTCTGCTGTATCCACAAAATTGAAAAAAAAAGGACATGTTGGGTTTTCCTTTGACCTTCACGTTGCTGTTTTCCGTTGTCATCCGTCCAATAAGCAGCTCAAATACGGCTACTTGCAAACCACACACTGTCAAGGAAGGAAATGGCGGTTATTTCAGAGACTTTGAAAATATTTCGCTCGTTGGAGTATTCACGAAAAATACCCGAGTTGAGGTAGAACGTTTTTAGTTTGAAATTTAAACCCACTTAGTTTATTTGATTAATCGGATGATATGATATAAAACTTTGGTTGAGAAAGAGGTGTAAAGTAAATTTCCTGCCAACAGTAGATGAGCATTTAGGGCCTATTAGCCATATTAAGTTACCTTAACCCTCTCGTCCGTCTAATATGCAAATATCTTTCCAGATTGTCCTGAAAGATATACAAGGACATATACCACCTGTATTTTATCAACTTGCTGAGAAATGTGGTTTCCTTCCTCCTTCTACGCTCAAAGGCACACTATGTACATTTTGTAAACAAAAACCAATCAAACGGTTACGTGCAGGCAGTGGCAATTGTGATTCACAAAATGCAGAGGTAACAGTGAAGCTTGTTATATCTGGAACAATTGGTGTATCTCAGAAAATTTCATTTAGTGAAGTGAAAGATGTAACGATTCGCTATCCAGAAGGACAGCAGTCCCCGATACGAGTAAAGTTCCCTATAGGCTGCAGATTCGGCTGGGGACCCAAGTCAAGCGGAAAAGCATTCACATCTCTAATGCTTAGAAATGATCTGCAAAGATCTGCAAAGAGAACCCGAGATAGAATTCTGAAGACATATGGATATTCGGCCATACCCATGCATAGCTTAATGTGTCCAAGCAATTCAAACCCGACTGGTTTTGGGAAAATCCCTTTCAAATGCTATTGGAGATCTCACTGCGTTACTTTGATGAGACGGCAGCCGGAGGTACCTCCTGATCACACACGGATCACCAGGGTAGGCGACGGACAAGGATTTGGAATATCTTTCTACATGTATTCTGTCAGCCCGCATTTTAATACATACGCGGGGAATAAGAAGCCGCATGAAGAATGGATGAAAAAGTTCTCTAGTCAGTCCGATGGCAAGCCTCTTAAAATGAAAATGGTCGTTCTCTCACCCCATGGCAAAACAATATTCGAAAAAATGCAAACTATCAACTTCCTTAAATTTAAGCAACGCCAGCCCGTTACATTGAACTGGGGTAGAGTTGTAAAAAATAAGCGGGACGGAGGGAATTACTTCTTCATGTCTTACCTACTTGCCTTTGGCCAAGCACGTCCAATTATTAATTGTGCGGATTTCTTTCGGTTAGAACGGAATGTAGATGGAGGTTGGTCTGCTTGGAGTCGGTGGACACAAAGGAACGAGGACCAAATCGTCCGTACTAGAAGTTGCTCCAAACCAGCTCCCAGCGGAATGGGGAGATACTGCCTTGGGAAACATGAAAAAACACGGAGACAAATAAAAAAAACAGAAAATGAGATGCCCGACAAAACTGGGTCCAAACCATTTTTATCTGACTTGCAAAATCGCGGTCCTAGCAATTCCAGAAGCCCAAATGGTCACATTGGCGAATCAGGACCAAGCAGTTCAAATGGTCATTCTGGCAAGTCAAATGCCTACGACTTCGCATTTGTGAGACCTCTGAACAATGGAAATCATAATCGCCAGTCTTGTAACATTCATTTAATCTTGCCCATATTGGTGTTTTTAATACATAATGTGCATGCTTAAGTAGGATGAACATCATAAATTGTCACGGATTTCAGAAGACTTATTTGTTTTTGATATACTTTTACTTCAAATGTTTTGATAAAGTATAAGTCACCGTAACTATCTTGAACTAAAAATAAGAAGCTCTCTTCATAAAAGACGGATTTTACAAGTACTACTCCCCTTTTTTTATATTGCCTAGGTGGATTCCAAGGAGTATATTGTGATATGACTGTTCTGCCCCCTCCCCCCCCCCTTTTTTTTTTTTTTTAGAAAAATTGATTATTTAAAAAACCTCTCCGTCAGCAAATGTGTATAGTTTTACATCGAAATGTATCTAAATAAGAATAGCCTAATATTTTGAATTAGAAGTCATTTGGCTAATAAAAGAACGTATTGTTATAGAAAGACTTTATGAAGACTGCTCACTACGTGAACAACGATGTCATTGAGTCATTCTAAAAAATTCTCCATGTATTGATTTTATTCCGCCGTGTAACTAACAACGTTGTTATAGTGACGTTAAATCTCGCGAGGGAATGGTTGTGCATGTAATAATATTTTATGTAACCATTATGCCTAACAATTAGATAGCGGCGCTCATCCAAAGTTGCAATCCGAATGAAACAGAAACGTGTCATTGTTTTGTCTATTGATTTACATCGTTGGTGTAAAGGAATTTCTCTTAACTATAATAAGGGAAGAAATAGCAAAAATTGTCCTTTTTCTGAAAGCTCAGAGTCATAACCGATCCTAGAAACTATTATAATAATGATACTCACAGGACATTAGTGCGGTGCCCACGTCTTTTTACGTGTCATCTTAACTGATTCTCGCTCAATTGATAAAATATTGATTGTGATCTATGTCTCTTTGGGGACTAACAAGATGTATATAATTGCGCACAATGCCATTTGTTAAATCATGCTCTTTACATATTTGAGTTTATTGAGTGTACACCATTATTTGGTTTTGCCTGGTTTCTCCAAGTGTCGAGTACATGTTGATTTAACGAAACCCTTTGTTTCCTCCATCCCAGTATACCACAAATTTTCATCGTCCCATTCGCAACAAGAAAGAAGGCAACAAAGAATATCCGTTGTTCGAGATATGGCCAAACAAGGCCGCTTTTATTTTATAACCCCAGTATCCTAATCATTTAAAACCCATTTCTCGTGGACTTAATTGCCACTCCCTTTCTGTATGCAGGATATCAGCGCTGTTCACGCAGCTATGACACCTTGAAATCAAAGATACAAATACTGCAGATGTGGGAATGTAACCATGTCAAGTGATCATGTACCGTAACCAGTAGGCTCTCTCTAGATAATCTGAGACCTGCCTGCTTCTGCATGCAGCTGCCAGATACGACTCATCTTCTGCGCCCTAAACACTCACAAAAGTGTTATTACCAATATACACCAAATCCCTACATCCTCATCATTAGTCATATTACGACAAAAATATGGTATTTTGTACCCAGGTTAATTTTTTATTATTGCTTCCTGGTGAATGACAACCTGAGAGGGAAGAGGCAATGCAGTATAGATTTTTTCTCATGAATAATCGTTTTTTAATTTGCTTCTTCATACCTGCGGTATCACAGTGGGTGCGTTTCTAGAAGATTAACGAATTTTCTTATCCATCGTTCAGGTAAATGTTACGATAAATAGTTACATTTAGCGATAGAAGGCCACCTAAATTTGTTGTAGGCTAAGAGAACAAGATGCAAACCAGAGCAGGTGCACGAATACTAACACCCTGCGGACACAGCTTATTTTGGTTCAGTTCCCTATACCAAGTGGCGGTTTGGTAAACCATCTCTTTAAAAAGAAAGGTTGGGTGATATTTTGTCCTCAATATTGTGAATGAGATATCTGAATTCATGTTTGAAAAAATTTGAATAAACATAAAACAATAAATGTATCTTAAGCATTAATATGTAAATATTGACCTATTATTCCGCGAAAGCATTTGAAATTCCAATCTGAAGCGCGGAATTTGGCAGCCTGTGGTAATCACTTTGCAAAACAAGTTCAATGTAAATAAAACAACAGCAACACCCCTAGATTTATGAATAAGACATGCTGTGCCAACATGCGCCAATGTCTGCTTTTGCGTTATGTACCTTACATAAAAATCAAATTTAGGAATTGACCGTGACTATAGTTATAAGGGTGAACAGTATAGATGATGCATTACCACGTGACTTTGTATCTCTTGAGGTAATAGAGCGTTAACCTCGTTTACTTCAGTGCAAATGCGCGTTTTTTTAACGTAATTATTACGAAATGGGTACATTAAAAAAAGACCACTAAGACACGTATGTGTCACAAAACTTTAAGGTAATATACTGTATACATAAAATGGAGTCTACAAAGGGGACAAGACGAAACATATGTCACGTATAAGAACAAAATGGAAAAAAATACCTTGTTCGTACCCACGGTGTAATCCAGATTGGTATATGCTGTATGTTCAGAAAGGCTTTGCAGAAACGACGTGCGTGAGCGGTTTGAAAAACAATCAATTATATAGCAAATGTGTAATTGATATGAAAAACGCTACACCCGTATTTCTCTAGTGTAAATCTAAACAAGTAATGGCATGTCAAAGGGCATTTTGGACACCATCTAAATTCTTCATCTCAAAATATTGCAAAGGTGGCCTAAAATGACGTTGTTTACATGCGGTTCTCCTGTCTTGACGAGCCCAGGTGAAAGTAACATACCAACACACCGTAGTTCGCAAGTCGGTAGATAGTAGAACTCTCAGGGTTAATAACCATATCATTCATGGCACTAAAATTGCAACATACCATCTGCCTTATGCCAGAATGATGTGCAGGCTTTTCTTAGGACGAGGTGAATACATGTTGGCTTGAGTAAGTATATAAATGAAGTACATTGCACAGAAACAGGAATATACGAAAAGAAATTTGGAGCTGAACAGTGAAAAGTTTGATTGTAACACATTTCTTTTTAAGATTGCATTTTAGCCGCAATTTTTATCTGTGCTTTCCAGATGAAAAACTTATAGCACATATAATACGTACGAATGGTTTGGCTAGGGCGCGTTGATAGCGGACATCAATGTACTAGTTGAAGCACATCTTTGATCTTAAGGCTCTATGTAGAGGTTGTCGCTGTTAGGAATTCAGGTTTCTACGATACAGCAAAGACCATGGCACCACCGACTGTATTTAACCGTTTCCCTTCAAGAGTTCGACGGTGGGGAAAGTTACCAACACGGTTCTGGACAGGCTTAAAAAATGTGGGACAAAAAATTTATAAGATTGTGTCATCACACGCCGGTTTGGTTATCATATTGTTAGTGTACTCATTCCTTGGGGCTGCCATCTTTCATGCCATTGAAGGAGCGGAGGAAGATAGAAAAGAACTTGAAGGAAAAACCGATGGCCCATCTGTGGAGGAAATTAAAAGCACTTTCACCAAAAAGATTTGGAACAAAACTACCTTTGATGTGCACAATGCTACATCCTGGAGTCGGATGATGCAAGTTGAGTTAAATGCCTTGCAGTCCGACTTGTATGCAGCGTTTGAGAGAGGTGTAAAGACGAACTCTAGCCAAAAAACATGGAATTATTGGAATGCTCTTTTATACTGTGGAACGCTGTACACTACCATTGGTAAGTACCTGTAATATCCATATATAATGTAGTAACAAATGAAGGTACAGTAGGTACACTTTAGATAATAATTCACCGATATATGATTGCGCCAGTTGCTATTGCCCCTATATTTACATGATATTGATATAACTGCCGATATTAATTATCCCCAACGGGAGAATAACCTCGTGGAGTTAGAGGCCCACCAAAATCAAAGTTTTATAAAGTTCCTTTTATCGAAAAATTAATCAATATACATAAAGAGAAAACGTGGGACTAATAGCTATATGTGTTCCTTAAATGTTTTGTAATGCTATGTCCTGATTTCACTTGGATAATGACGGTATTTGGATCAAAACGGGTTTTAATTTGTAACAAAAACAATGACTTTACTCTGTTCTCTTCAAAAACAGATTGAATGAGAAAAAGCAGACGCAAACATTTCCAATACATATATAATATAAGCATTTTAGTCTGGCAGGTCTGTTATCACACTGGCTGTCGAAGCTATGCAGGATGATATATATGAGCAATCAATGCCCGTTAATTTCTTCTGTATTGAGGAGATATTTATAGCATTGTGTGCAGTTTTTGAAATAATACAAGTTCGGATTTCTTGAAGACGAAAAACCTTAGAGACTTATACATGTATTATCTGGGAACTCTATCTCAAATCTTCTTTCTTTTTGTAAGATAGACCTGCGCTTATATACGAAAGACAGTGGTATAGTATTTTCCACAGAGTGAAATAGAGTGTAATGTGTGTAGTGTTCATTTGGTATATGCCAAGTGAAGAAATAAAAAATGCATATAAGTTGTGTCAGATATATGTTCTTATACATAATTTTACATAGGATATCTCTGGGTATGATCATCGGATAGTTGACGGTACGTTTGTTATATGATGTTATGAAGATGGCAGTTTTTTTCTATATCGTATTTTTCACGTCGAAATTTATATGAACTGTCCTCATATAACTTAGATCTACAAATGCCTTGAAAGTTGTGCGGGATCAAGTCTTGTGTAGATATATAAACACATACACGCGCGTGCACAGCAACTGCATATAACGTTATGATCATCAGTCATAAACTGGACTTTATAGTGTTTCATCCACCGATCAACATATGTAAACAATCTACCGTATATTTATCTAACCAGGGATCAGAGCGTATTTTCCCTCTGCGCCCTACTGGGTGATCTATAATCAGTATATGTATAATTAAGAAACAAACAGAGCCCACGTAATAGTTTGGCTTGTGACGTGAAAGCAAACTGTGATGCTTATTTGAAGAATCAATGCCTGATTTTAGAAGCCAGAAGTTAGGTTTTCTTTTCTATTACATTTTTATTATTTTATTTGTTTAACATTCCCATGATAGAATTTACACACGGGCTTCATCATTAAAAAAACGACACAGAAAATAATTTGAATAAGTGAAGTTAACATTAAGCACAGAGTGAAGGGAAAACATCAACAATGCGATCAAAAACTGCAGTTTTCTGAGTCACTTTCATCCTTACTCTACCTTTACCGTTTCACATTTTAAGACATGCGTCACTGATGTAACTATTTCCACCCCATCCTCAGTTGCGCGAATTGATATCGTAGTGAAAGTGCAAAACAATCTACCTTGTCTCACCCGACATGTTTATCAAGAGGTACATGTAGTTACTGGGTGGGCACTTGCTATCATATCTGCCAAACAATGCCTAATTAGAGATAAAAAAAGGACAAAACACTTCCCTAGGAGTCAGAGGCCTTATCAGCAAAGAAAATAAATAATTTAAAAAAACAATTAGTAATGTTCAAGACAAGTCTCTATAACCAAGTCTATGAAATACAAGCCGTTTTAAAATGAAAAAAAAATTGATTTATTTCCTCACGGGATCTAAAAATACTTCAAAGGAAAAGAAATTGCTACTTGAACACCTTCCCTCTCTGTACCTAGACCACACTAAGTGTACCGTGCTTTATCACTGTTATTTATATCCAACATAATTTGTTTAAAGATAGACTTTTTGCCTCAGGGTTATGAATCAGAGAGAGAGAGAGAGAGAGAGAGAGAGAGAGAGGTGTAATCAAATACACCACTGCCGTACAAAAAAAATATATTATACAGTAGAGGTTATAATCTTAAATACAATGTAAGAAATTCATCCATGCTCTACCAAGGCATTACTACAAGTTTGAAAACATACTGTCACGTTATGGTTCAGCTAGGCTTTTTTGTCCCTTGATGCACTTGTATGGATCTTCAAGCCATTTGCCCCGTTAGTAGAGTAATCATCAGAATTTGTAAAGCCCAGTAAAAGCAGGTTCAGCTTTAAGATTCAGATTCATTTAAAATTGTTTTCTTATATAATGAAGATACGTCCAGTTGCAATAGTGCAGTTTGTTTAGTGAATTTCCATACACACGTCTCACTGCAAGAAACGGTAACTAGACAAGTGCCAAGTTGAAACCAATATATTGCGAACAACAGTTGTTAAAGACCTGAAGACAACCGCAATGGGGCCTAGCAAATTGTGGTGAACTATGCACATAGTATTAACAACAGTGATGTAATTTAGACAGCAGCACCTGCGTCCCGTTGTTAGGATAACCATATAAATAAATAATATTATTCATTCAACATCCTCATCATATCATCTTATGAAGGTCAGGTTAAGGTTATCCGAGCCACATAAAGTTAATCCTTTTTAGCGTGTTTGGTAATCTTGTCCGAAGATAAACGGCAGTAGGGTGATTAACATGCCAACTGTTATTAGTTTCTGGCAAGTGCACGTGCTGATTGATATCCGTGGCCAACTATTTATTATCTATCTCAATGGGGTACAGTGCAAAAAATGTATGGACTAGCAAACTCCTTTCGAGTCTGACCGACATTTTCTATTGTAATAATCGATGGGATGGGATCGATTCGAGCGTTTCTTTCTTTTCTAATCGCTTTTCTTTTATTTTGCAAAAAAAAAAAAAAAAAAAAAAAGATTAAGGCATACAGAAATAAAAAGTGTTCAAGTCATCATTTTCAATTTTTTGGTTATTTTCTGACAATTTTTTTTGACCCCTTGGGGGGGGGGGTCACAACAGATAAAGGGGGTTCTATCTGGTATTTGATAATAACTACATTTGAAAATAATTAACCTGAACACATTTTGTAATAAAAGACCGATTTAGTGAGTAGGAAAGTTTTCAACTAATTGGAGGACATGAGTGTAATTCCTAAAGAAAGTTTTAGAGCTCTAGCTGTTAAAAGAGAGACAGATGTCAGCAGGTTATCATGTCTAGAATTAAACCAAACCAAAGGCTATGAATAGACTTTCAATAATTCTAGAAAAACTTGAAATCCATCAGACAATTATGGACATGTGCAGGAGTCGTACCTACATATACTTTACAAAAAATAACATTCCCTTGTGGAGCAAGGGGGCATTCAGACAGACACGTCATACTAGTTTGGTCGGTCGAACTCTGCAGGAGCTCTCGCCATGTGCAATCGCCCTAATGGCACACACCCCTCTAGCTGCTCGAGAGGGCGTGTCAGACAGTTAAGCTGATTCCACTGGTTGCACTTAGCGAGAATTCCTGAAGAATTGGACAGACCCAACTAGTTCAATGTGTCTATCTGAAAGGGTTTGAGTAATGAATGAGATTTGAGATTAGACACTTGAGATTTGGTAGTTAATTCACGTCAGATCCATTGCCAATATGAAAAATTATAGGAATAAAGCGATAGCTCTAAAACTATAAACCTGTTACGATTAGTCTGAGAATCTAAATATCTAATTTATCGTTTGGTAAACCAATTTATCTTATACATCTGTCTCTTTTACTTGAATTTTTGTCAAAAGTACTTTTCTCAGAGTATACGCTAGTATCCAGATTCCATTTTTGAATTAAGCACGTATGTTCGAAATTCTCACATGTTTACTCGCTTCATCACAGCCAGTGGATAATGTTCTTGTAAGGAACCTTGAACAGGTTTTCTAAAAACATTCAAAAAACCACTTAAGGTTGTCATGAAACGATCCACCTGCATCAATTCTCTTCGTTAAAAAAGTTGCCCTGCACTGTGAGTACTTCACCACGTGTAGGCACTTCTATAACGTCAAAATGGATTTACATATACAAGACGTAAAAATTTATTTACCTTCAAATCTAGACTTGCAGGAGTCACAGTAATACTCCAATCTTAATAAAATATGTACACTTATAACAAACACTTGCAATTCTTTCAATTATCCCTTTTACTCATATTGAATATTGCAAAAACAAAATTTTAATTCAGTATGTATAAAACTGTACTTTTCCTTCATTTTCAGGTTATGGTCACATCGTTCCATCTACATCTTTCGGCCAAGTAATGACCATTGTCTATTCAGCGATTGGCATTCCACTATGTCTCATCACGCTAGCAGATTTGGGTAAACTCCTCACGAGAGGAGTAAAGATTCTCTTTGCCTATATACGACGTTTTTACTACACGGGACGATGCCGAAAGATGCGTCGCGCTACAGGAAAACAACTGAGATCATACGGCGGGAAATTTCGAAAACAAACCAGGCGGTTCTCATTTCCGTTAAATAGATTAAGAAAGGAGAACGGTCTAGCTGATAGCTCACAGAGTGTGCCGGCAAGGGTGACACACAGCCCTAAAGATCTTGGTTTAGATAATCAAGGCATGTCACACTCGGATGTCGAGATGGGGCGAATAAAAGCAGCGCCCTCTGGGTGCACGTTGACCGATGTCGAGGATAATGAGGAAACAGAAAGTGAAGTAGACAAGAAAAACACGCCCTATGAGATCGATGAAAATTTCAACATACCCATCGTGTTTGCCCTTTTGCTAGTGATTGTGTACATTTTGGTAGGCGCCATTATTTACATTCAGTGGGAGGAATGGAGCTATTTGGAAGCTTTCTACTTTATTTTCATCTCTATTAGTACAATCGGTCTAGGTGACGTGACCCCACAACATCCACTCTATTTCCTCATCTCATCCATATACATATTTCTCGGACTTTCTCTTGTATCCATGACGATAAATGTCGGGATGGAATTCATGCAGGCGAGAATAGAAAAGACTATGGAACGCGCGAAAGCTGAAATGGGGCAGATGGCAGGAAAGGCCAAGACCCAGATGGGCGCTGTAGCAGGAAAGGCTAAGCATGGCATTCACGGTATGGCGGGAAAAACTGTGACAGCAGCGAAGTCAGGAATGGGAGCAATGGCAGGGCAGATTGACAAGACCTTTGACAAAGCGAAGAAAACAGTAAGAGATCATGGAAGCAAGTTAAGTACCAAAAAAGACAAATCCGCCACTGACTCAGAAAATGGGAGTGTAAGGGGCTCAGAAAAACACTTAGCAAGTGATATGGAGAATGAGAAGGTGACGAAGAAAGATGCTAATACTCCCACAAAGACAAAAGATGAGGTGAAAACCAGTCCTTCAAGGTTTTCCGCCAGATCTCCAGTGAAAGACAGCAAAGATACGGTAACACCTTTTAAGGCAAAGGAGGAGAAAGACGAAACTTCTGCAAAGCTATCAGACACACAAAGTTCTGCTGATAGTAAATCTCCGACGAAGGCGGTGTTGTCACCGGAACCTCTGGAAACTTCTAAACCAAAAGCCCCAGAACACGAAGAAAAGACGCATGGCAGCAAGCCTTCTCTGTTTGCATCAGCCAAATTACCTTGGAAAAAGCATACTACTTCCGCCCCAGTTGATGCAAAAACTGAAAAGTCCTCAAGCACCCCATATCCTACGAAAATCTCACCGGAGCCTAAAAAAGCTAGCTTAGATGATTTATGAAACGTTGATGTCATTTGAAGAAAGTTTCATCAAATTCACTTCAATCTAAGCCCTTTACAAAGTCTTAAAAAGAAAATTGTTTATTGTAAAGCATTATAATTATTGACTGCTTCAAACCATTTGTGTGTGTGTATATATAATTGCGTTTTAACGTGTTCTTCTGAGTCGTTCTGCTAAATATTAGATGAGTGAATGAATGTTATCTATTGTAAATACAAAATGACATTTATGATTTTATATGTTGTAATACTTCATTTCAGTCGATCATTCTTGTCATGAGGATCTGCCCTGGTATCCGTATGTGTATGATACAGGTCTGGTATTGAATAAATATATATCTACTAATAAGCGCTTATATTTCACACTGCAAAAAATGAACAATAGAAGCAATTTACTTTTCCCGGAGAGTGATAATTAGGCTTCGTGACTCAACTTCCATCTCAAACAAATATGAAAAGAAAAAAAAAGCACAGACAGAAAACCGATATAAAGTACGTATACAATTCTGACAAGTGAGAAGCGAAACTGTGGTTTGCTAGTGGTCTTTGTGCTTCATGTACCCTGTACAAGTATTAATCAACAAGGTACTTGTATATACATCAACATCGTCCTTGATATGGCAAACACCTATGAATTATTTTTAATATCCTCTTTATTGTAATGTGCTCGTGTTGTTGACTTATTTTACATTGTTTGGAAAAAATAATAAATGGTATAACCTTATATCTTGGTGATTCCCACCATTGAGTCATTTCTTTGAATAATATGTATTCTACATTGTACAATGGCCTCATTTTCTTTCCTATTTATATTCCTTTCCATTACTTTCTATGAGCTCAGTGAACCCAACCAAGAGATACTAAACATTTAAACAATGCATTATCCCTAGTTTATATAAATTAAACATACATGTAGTATACGGACAGAATAAGCTAGAAGGAGAAAACGGTGCGTGCGACAGTACAGACTCATTTTATTTGGCAAAAACATTGGCATTATTATACAATTTAAAAGGGGGTTCTTTTCCGAAAAAGTGGATCTTTTTACCCCCTTAGTTGGCCCGACTTGAGAGTCATCAGAGCTAGAACCTAGATCAAATTTTCCGACCAAAAGTGCTGTTCTTTTGAACCTCCTGCCTACATTTACTCCAAATTTCTGAATCACCATGAGCCGGATTGGAAGCTTTCTTTGAGAATGAGAATATATACACACACGAAAGCTCTTGATTGATCTGTGCAGGAATCAATGCCTATATAGACCTATTCGTAAATTTCCATTACAATACAGGACCATAAGAGGATTTATGTATTATGTGTTTTCTCGCATCCTTTGATATAGCTTCATAGCCTTTTCTCTTAACAAAGACCGTTTTCTGGCCTTATATCTAAAATTGATCTAGCGATTTTATCATGATAAAATACATGTACAGTGTAAATGACATAGCAGGAACAAATATTCTAACTAATAGTGCTATACACATGCACCGACAATACTCTTTCAATTATATGTAGGCCTCTACAGTTTCGGTTTTACTATTTCTTTTTTTCAAAGAAAAAACGAAAGTTCTAATTAAGTTTTTAATATCAATTCTCGTTCGGTTCTCCAGGATAATCTTATATTAATTTGTTAATTGATTATTAAATCAATTTGCTTATTCACCATGTGACAAAAAGACAACACATTCATGTCCTGCTTTGCACACTTGTTTAGTTCCTGGTAACTGGGCAATTTTGTCGGCTCCCTTGTTGATAATGCCACCGTTGACCAATTCTTGCGAATAAAGTACCAGTACGTACTAATTTTACCCTCTCTCTCTCTCTCTCTCTCTCTCTCTCTCTCTCTCTCTCTCTCTCTCTCCTTCATACACACTTAGTGTTGTTTCGTACTATCTCTGCCTTGATACTTCTATAGGTGACAAAAATGCAGGGTTGTGGTGAACAAGGATTGTTCCAGTGTCGCTCAACATGTGTCTTCTCTAACGCAATTAGATGGCAAAGGCAATGCAGAGATATTTGTGTATAGCACATCTCCCTCAAGAACTTCTTCTGAAGCATCCAATATGGGTGTCTTTTCGTAATGAAGGTAATTTCTTTCGGGTGCTTTTATAATACTCTTTTAGCGTAGAACCGACATGTACAGTAGCACAGTCCCATGATTCCCCATACTCCTTTACATTGTGATTGAATTTTTGATACCAGAATGCGTTTCACTGGGCTATTCCAGGACATCTAGTAACTCAATACGTGTGCAAGGAATACATCTTCCAGAAACATTACCTGGCGAAGCCATCCACCGCTTAACCACATTGAAACTTAAGGTGATGCTGATTTCAACTTAATATTCTGCCCTAGTTTATAGGTATTTTGATATGTTAGTAAATTAAATAGATATATTGGGGTTTGCTTGTGTGGAACTAAACTAAATTACAAACAACATCCATCAAAAAAACGTGTATGCTGATATAAAAGTTGACAGTGCACCACCTGCACATACCAGTAAAGTGTTTAGATTGTTGGAGCTTAGATTATGTAGGAAAACTACGTCGATATTGCCAATATAAACACATCCATAAGCATCCCAATCGAAGGGTTACATTCCAACCGAACATTATCTTGAAACTGTCTTAAATTCGTATACAAAACCGAAACGTACCTCTTGCGATCAATTGAGCGGGGGTTTATCATAGACCTTATCTCTTTAAAAGGACTCTTAGTGCCTCACAGCATATCACCCTTTCATGCTATTGGTGCTATTACAGGGTGGTTTATTGGGATAAATATGACAGATATATTGACATGACTAGTGCAGGAGATACAATGTACGTTTAACAAGGTAAGTCATAATTGCTTTGTTGTTTTAGGGCAGAACAAACATGTAGACAGTTTTTTTCAAAATTGCGTGTCATACAACGTAGTGAATCCATTTCAATTAGATCAAAGCTGTTCCCGGGGACTGGTGATGAGACGGAGCTGGTAATGAGAGGAAAAAAACGCTGAAAAGGGGTAGCATTTTGCACAAGTATTGAAGCTGAAAAGATGCAAATGTTAACAAAAGAGAGTTAAGGGGTTTTATCTTTTTGTGCTCCAGTTTTGTTGTGTTTTAAAATCTCTGGCAATGGCTTCCACGTCATTCTGCTACAATATCCAACATAATCTAAAATGGTTTTGAAGCATAGAATTATAGAAAAATGTGTTTAGAGGATACATATTCTGTTGTTTGAAATGGGTGCAATTCTAGATGTGAAGAATGCGTACAAAGGTCAATTTCAGGACCACATTTGCAGGAGTTAATCTCCAGAAGACTGCCACCTCCAACAATAAATTGATAGACCCAACCACTGTACCGTTAAAACAGCGATCAAAGACGCAATCGCAATCTCATTTTTAAAATAATAAACAAAAATAGCCAACACAAAATGTTTTTAAAATAAGTTTTACTTGGGGTTGGAATAGAACCTGTGATGCCGAGTCTAAGTAATATCTTAAAATTTGAAATTGATTGGATGTGTATTGTTGGTAGTATTGGGTGTATGTTCACCTGTTGCGAACATGCATACACTTTGATGTAAGAGGCCTACTTCAAATAGAAAATGAGCCTGCGGTAAATTAATACATTTAGCTACGACACGGATCGTTGGAACACCTAATAACTTACAGTTAGATAGAAACAGATGACGCATACAGGGCGTCAGAAACACCAGCGCTTCCGAACGGTCCTAAAAGAAACACCCTTGGAAAATATAAACAGAGGCCAAGGTGTCAAACAAAGCTATCCAAATCTGGAAGAGTAATGAATACAAAAGAAGCGGAAGAGGTTAAAAAACATGGATAATACAGACTAATATCGGTCCCGGAAGGAAATATGCACTGGGAAGGTTAACTTTATGTCGCATAAGATTAGAAGTATGCTCCATCGTGCAGTTTCGAGGCGTTGCTAGGAATAAGGAAAGTTACTCATAATGGGTGCTTCGTTTAGGTACTACATGTAGGGCTACCCCGGTACTACCTCCAAGTACTCGTAAAAGGGTAAGTCGATTTATGCTTCGTTCTTCATTTCCTCATGACACTTCAAATGCATATATCTTGACACAGAGTGCGTGTTCTATATATTTTTTAAAGAACCCCACCACCACCCGCTGCCTCCACAACCTTTTCACTATACTCAGCACTAACAAAGTTAACGTTCCACAACATAACCAGACACCTGTCATCTTACCTGAGATTGATTTTTGGATTATATAAGACTTAAAATTAGATTAAACCAATATTTTGAAAATACAGTTTGTTAGATACTTCTTTTCAGCTCTGTGTTTAGGTATTTTAATGTTTTGCACTTACAAGTAGGCCTATGCTTCAATTCGACGTAACTTACGTAACAGTTGTAAGTGAGAGTTTCCTTACTCTGCTAACAAGAGTACTTATACACTTATGCACAAAGTAAATATACAAGGAACGCACTAGACTTTCTAGACTTCCAAGTAGAGAGAATTGGTCTTTAAACACATAACATCATATGGATTGGTTTTATCTAAGTGTGGAATTTGAAGGGGTAATAACTGATACTAATTCTGATACGTGTACTCGTTAAATACTATAAATAGACGCTGACTCTGGGTTAAATTGATAAGTTTTTTTTTTATAATATTTGCAAACTAGCCAACACTTCAGTGGTATTTTTTATACCAGACAACCATATCGGGCCCTCTGCACAACTATCACATTCAGCGCAACAGTCATGGTCACCTGAGAAATTACGTGTGTTAGTGATCTAAACGCTCACCTCTCAAACGCAGTCAATCAAAGCATTAAGTTTAAAGATTTACATGGAATAAATAGGTTTACGATAAGAAAAAAAATGCTTTTCGTACAATGGTTTAAAAATCTAAGATTTTATCAGCAGCCGGTAAGCTGATGCCATTAATAACGAGGAAGTGAAAGGTTCCTAAAGCAAAACTGTTCTCTGCCAGGGACCGGGCAGCAGGTTTAGAACCCCTGTCTACCAAATGCCTCCCACATATTTTATAAATATGGGATAATTTTTACTTTTTGCATTCATTAAAACCAACCCATCCACGCCGACCACCGCCCTTATCACCACTGTGGTCAATTGCAATAATTTTACATTTATGGTTGCCAATACTTAAAATAGAATCGGAATAAATCATTTGCTCGTGTTCATAATTGTGTGATTGTGACGGCGAGAACGAAGTTGCCCCGTGTTGCTCGAGCGAAAAAACTGTTCAGGAACTAAAGACATCATTTTTATGAAATTTAATAACTTGGAAACTACGGATGTTTTAATCACTTTTTGTTAGACTTATATAATCAATTACTGAGTTTAATTTTACATTAATCAAACTGTTTTTTTATTCAATTTGTATTTTGCATTCTAAAGCTATAAAACACATTTGGATTTTAGTTTCTTAATGCATGTTGTTATCACTATAGAAAACACATTCTTAAGTATATCATTCGGTAGAACGCCGTGACACACTGGAACGAGGTCATCTACAGTGGGTTAAATAGAGACGCCGCCGTTGGGTCACCTTACCCTGTGCTGCTCACAGTAAAGTAAAAGTAAAGAAGAGAGGGGCGTTGGGTTAAAATACCTTGTTCCTATACCTTTCTATCTTGTTTGTGTTTGCTATATTGACTTCCCGATTGCCAAACGTGAGGTGACTGCGCAGTTCCCTGGAGCACTAGTATCAATCTTACGTGTATGTATTTTTTGCTTGTGCTATCAATCAACAGGGCCGAGTTTCCTACGGTTAAGATGGAATACCCACGTTCTCCATTGTCAAGTATTAATGTTGATAAGTGTGAGTGCAGAAACATTATTTCCACAGGTTCTTGGTGTCGTGGTTTAAAAAAGTAACAAAGGGATAGTACAGTGTACATCTGCGACAACCAACGACGCTTTTTTGTAACTAGCATAAAACTGGCCTCCATAAAGCTTTCAACGGTTGTATAGATTGGGTCATTCCAAAAAAAAAAAAAAAAGCGAATATTTGAGTCATGACAGTGACGAGTATCAGTTCCATATTTGCGTTATTTTGTCTTACCGCGTTATTTTTGCTGTTTTAAACTACAGTACCCTCCAATATAGAAGGAAATCAAAAGTAATAAAAAATGAAATAAAACTTTCATCTATACATTATACAAAACTGTGTGTCTGAATACTCAGCAAGTATCAAGTCCTCACCGTCGTGTCATCTAAATATGATAAATATGCACATACATGTATGTACAGTATAGTAACGACGCGCTGTAAACTGCGGAGCCTAGACAAAGTTTCACTAGTTTACAGATGATGTTTTTTTAATTTTATCAAATTTTATCAAGTGGAAAAAGTTACAAAGAAAGGAAATAAAGCTAGTCTTGCATTTGTATGGTTCTTTTTTCGCGTATTAATGTAATCTTGGACCCATCGTACCCCAATTAATTTGATAGCAAACATAATGTAAGTACTCGGCTGGTAAGTATTACACAAAATGTCTGACATTAGAGAGAAATGATGTGGCTGTTTAAAAGCAGCCCCGAAAACAAACGCGTATTTGTTTGTTGGAGAGGAGATGATATTTTCCTACTAATACAAAATCACAGTGTTCGGTATAGAACCCTTAAAAATCTTCAGGTCACACTGCCTGCGGTGAAGCGGTCTCATGTACCGATACATGGAGCTGCACGCATAGTTTTTATGTGGGTCGTTAGTGAAGTGTTCGGGTATGCATATTGAAGCCTTTATTACCCTGTGTGCAGTTTTCAGTGCATCATAATAAATGAGGAAACAGCTGTATTGTCGCAACAGGTCAGTCGCGAACACTTAGGTTAGTACGATAAACAGCAGAGATGGCGAGTTGGTGAGTTGTCATTCATCTCAAGAACGAGATATGTGGGCCTTCTGGAAATTTATGGATCAAAGAGCATTCAGGATATGTGGTCTGTTTAACGGAGTGAATGCTGTTATGTATAATCACACAGAGCACTCAATGTTACACTAATATATAGCATCACGCCTAGTAGCTAGACCAGTGGTGTCAATTTATTCACATACTACATGTACATCAAGTAAGTAAATGCAGTACATTACCTCAGTTACATACCGGACATGTACTGGTATATCCAGTTTTGTAGGGTTGTGACCATAATATAAAGATCACTGTATACTAATTAAGCGTGGGCGAATGCTGGCGATTCACCCCAAAAACAGTTTTAGATTATTATTATTATTATTATTATTATTATTATTATTATTATTATTGTTAGGCCTATATACAGAAGGAAGCATTAATGCAGCCCTACGTGCAAAGTTATGTAAGACACCAGTGCGACACCTGTTCAGATGAGAGACGGTCCCAGCAATATCATCCAGTGACATTTGAACCCTTACTCAAGATCAGTGTTACAGATTAAGGAGTGACTATGGCCATATGGACAATTTGAAGGACATATTAGAAAGGTAAAATCGGCAAAAAGCTTCATTACTTAGGTAATACCACAGCTTAAGAAATAACCACCTCATTTGAGACTTAACTTTACGGATGATTAGTTAGAATAATTTACGTTTTGGCTTATTTTCGGGCTTCTGACCCTTGTTTAACGTCATTGTGCGAAAACTGGCACTTTGTTTGATCGTAAGAAAAATATCCCCACCGCACAAAAACGGGAGATTAAAAGAACGATATTAGGAACGCGATCGATGGGAGAATGATCGCCAATTAACTTGATTACGCCTATTGCATGTAGAAATAATTCGTCACGGAGGGGTTTGAATAAAAAAAATCAGTTCCGAGCCACTACTGGTGGAGTCAATTAAGTGATTGATTCTCCCGTGAAAAGAATCATTTACACTCAGATTCATACTATAAATTATACTGTGCACGTACTGAAAGGATAAGTTGAAACAAAATCAAAGGGATGAGAAATTCGATTTCATTAATTTCGCATAAAAATACATAAAAAAGAATCCTTTGCTGTTATCGTCTCATGACGAGAAGATAAACCGAGGGCTGCAAAGTCTGCTTCGTATTGTTAAGTTTTTAAGTTTAGCTGTAACAAACACATATATACACAAACAAACACAAAAATAAAAAAGACTTATAAATATTATTGCACGTGAAGGGTAAAGATTGTTGCTGTAAAGTAGACACATCTTGACATGTATTGTTGTGCGTGAATGAATTAAGTGTGCAATACTCGTCAGTATGGCTGTAAGTGCACTTTCACAGAAACTATAGGCCTACATGTGTTTTCGCTTGCCTTCCCCCATGTCACATTTTGTGTGAGAGATTTTATATAAAGTGTATGTCTGTCATTTAAATCATCAATTTATTGAATTTTATCTAAATGAAATTCGTTTCCAGAGGTGAAACGAAGTTTAAAACCACACTTTATTTGACACTTCAGTAAATAACGGCAGAGCTTGAGTAGAACTCACAGTCCGAGAAACAATGGAGTCCGATGCGTTGCTGGTTCTCTCTCCTGGTCCTGTGACAGAGGATGAGAAGGTATGTTTTCTGAAAAAAAAAGAGAACGCCAAAAACATTAAGATTAATAGTCAGGCCTACCCAACTACCAGACTCGGCACCTACAGATCCAGAATAAACCGGTATATCAGACCACACTACCCGTTTTCAAGGTGTGTGTCAGATCGCATTACAGAGTATCGTGCCCCATCACAAATTTTGTAAGCCTACCTGTCATCCGGGTATCGCGCCTCGTTTTCGTCAAGTAGGAGTCGTATGAATACAACAACATGGAAATCGGCAATCCTCGGCTCATTCCGCAAGCTCCATACTATTGTCGAGTGCGGAGACTTCGGAGTAGTTCCGAGTGACAACATGGCGACAGACGACTCACTGAATCTCGTCCAGAAAATATTTAACCCCCGACAGAATTTGCTTCCGCTATCAAAATTAGGTCTACTTTTCTAAATGAATATATAAGTTTGCATAAACAGGGAAAATTGCAGCAGCGCATGAATCTAGATGAGATGCACTACTTTCCAACCCCGCTTTAGACCACGGTGGAAGTGAAGAACAAAAGATTCAGACGTGGTGTAACTCGCTTAACCGCACGTCTCGCATGAATGCGTTATAACCAGCTAATGGACCCGTGGTCTAAATAAGATAGATCCCTCGTCAGCGAGGGTTATGTGACATCCTCTCGTGCTTCGCACTCGTGTATGCCACATAACCCTCGCTGACTCGGGGTCTATCTATTACTACGATCATCGCTATCACATCGCGCACCAGGCAAAATCGGTGTGGTGGCTGATACTCTGTAATGCGATCTGACACACACCTTGAAAACGGGTAGTGTGGTCTGATATACCGGTTTATTCTGGATCCGTAGGTGCCGAGTCTGGTAGTTGGTTAGGCCTGATAGTTGTTCCGATAATTTAAATAGTCGGCATACAGTCTTCTCGCATGTACAGAATTGACAGTGGCTCTCCGAAAAGATCAGCATATATCAATTAGAAAGCTTTGGAGACCCAACAGATAAAATGTCATGTTTAAACTGAAAGAAAAACCAGTTATGAAAATAATTGCATTATGCAGCAAACGATAGGTTTCTAGCTAGAGTTGTACAACCTAAATTTAAAGAGTCTATTCTCCGAGTTGTGGACCAGTAAAACTGTAAAACTTGCTGATCGGTTTGCGAAAGAAATTTTACCTCGGGGAGGTTTTGGAATCGTTATATATCGATTGATCATTTATCTTGGTTCTTTTTCCTCTAACATCCAAGACGTTTCCAAAGATCTGGCAGCTGAGCGTTGCAGACTTCCTTCCTGTAACGCAGGGATAAGCGAATGTTCTGTAGTCACGATCACGAGAGTGACAGCAGAGCACGTTTTTTTTTTTTTTTAAATATTTTATCCCTTTAGGCCTACTTTAAAATTAATAGATTTTGCATCAGAGGGAGGGACTATTATGGAAAGATAAAAGTAACTTTTCGTTTTTAATGCCATATGTATATTCTAATAGAGTTATGAAAAAGAAAGAATTTCATATCAAGTGTCTCGTGTGAGTTTAGTGTCTGAAACTGATACTTGGAGGCGTTCATTGTCGCTTTCAAGTCTAATGTTCTCTCGATCCACCCTTCATTAATATTACGATAAAGTTTCTCATGTAATCTCGGGGTGCAACCAGTTTGAGTCATCTAACATTAAGAATACATGTATAACACACTGCGGTTTTATCATATCATAACATCGCGATGGTCTTTTATTTGGCGTTGTGACTAATACTAATATACACGCGAAGAATGCGAATTGCTTTTACTTTTTTAAGTCTGCTTTGCTGCGCGCACGGAAAGCACTTTAATAAGAATACACGGATTGCCTTGGTTTTATCACAAATATTTACGTTAAGGTTTACAGTTTAATAAAAGCCTTTGTCTTAATCTGTGTAACCCAACGGTTCTCGGAGTAGCGTAACAAAACACATTGCATGATGTACATTTCCCAATAACAAATTGCAGTTCACGTTGTATAGGGTAAGCTACTTCAATTATATCGGATTATAAATGCTTTCAAAAGTATTGTTAATTATTCAGTACAAATAATGGCCCGTTATTCAGAAAAAAAACGCTACCACAAGATAAAGACACCCATCACCTCCATGGCGCGTTGCTCAAAATAAAAGCTATTTGTTAGTGGTATATTCAAAATGCATGCGATTTCTGCTTAAATGTGTCTGCGAGTTGTTAGATGTCATTGTATGATACACGTTGCGTTGACTCAGAAAAAGCCTCGCCCATTTCCGAGTCTCCTTTCAACAGATATATGATTGCTGCTACATGCAGTGATCTGTGCAGAGGAAAACATGCTGTGCTCTACTTAAAATGTTGATAGTTGTCTAGTGCGCAGGTGCCTTTAAATAAGTAAACAGATGTTGCTGTTGTGAAGACTTAACCGTGGCATTATACACTGTTACCATGACAGAAGACTATTTTTCTTGAAATGAGACGAAAATATTCACGGAACCTCAATTACATGTGCATTTGACTTTTATTTCTTTGGGACCACACTGCGCGCCGCGAGAAATAATTGGTGCGACAGACAGAATATCTCAACCGGGAGTGACAAGATACCAAAAAGGATAACATTAACTTTGAGCATTTGATCAAATACAACAGAACTGCCGAGAGGAGGGCTCCGTCACCCTGCCATTAATTAAATCAGTAAAGGACGCACGGCTACAGGTATGGGGAAAAGACGGACAGTAATTCGGAGTAATTCTCTAGTCTCTCAAAACTCATTTCATGGTCGCTTGTGTGTGTGTGTGTGTGTGTGTGTGTGTGTGTGTGTGTGTGTGTGTGTGTGTGTGTGAAAGAGAGAGAGAGAGAGAGAGAAGACAGCAATAATATTTGTGCACCATGGCATATAATATTTAAAATGATAATGATGATTAGCCCTTCACCGCAAACGGTGGCAGAAAATGGTTCACAATACATTACCACTCCGTGTCAAGGTCAATAATAAAATCTGTAGAAATGAACAGACTGAAAAAGAAAGACCACTAACAAAATTAATTCAGTTCTGCCAAAACGAACAAAGCTCCAGTGTTTTTTTTTTCTACCTTTATGCATCAGGTATTGTGGGCGCTATATTTGGCTGTCATTTTCTGCAAACCACCTGTTCATGTATAATTCAGTGAATGATTCCAAACAAAAAATGTTTTATGCAGCCTGGGTCTGTTTATGTTGGACTGGGGCTAGACAGAAGGCTTAAATATTTATTGATTTAGAAGCGAGAACATTCCCCATGGTGACCGAAAAGAGTAACCTGGTATATGGCTTTTGTTTTATTATTGATCCTTTTGCAATTGTTTATGTTATTGTTTTCTTTTCTTATTCTACTGTTTTCTCTTCTTATTCTATCATATATTATGGCTTATCCTTCCCTTCCTTTTCATAAAAAAAAACTTTGAATTTAGAATGTGCAAAATGTGGAAAAAGATCAGATTTTAATGTACCTTTATAGGCTTCTCAAACAAGCTATTTCATTAAAATAAATATGTATATACAGATTTGTTCAAAATTATTGAATGGCGTGTGTGAATCGTTTGGATGCATGTTCTCGAAGCAAGTTTTTAAAATCTAACGGCATGTAAATAATTTAAAGAGACCAAAATAAATAAAACGTGAACATTAACTAGAGGAATGACGTGATTATTTTTTCCGTGGATCCTATTTTGATTTAAATTACAAGAGGCAGAATAGACGATACACTCGGAAGGAAGTCAATATATGGGAAATCCATATAGCTGCAGACGAAACTGACGGATGAGGTGTGCCTGTTTATGTGTACACGTTATGTTGCCAGATGATGCCCCATCTCTTCAGGTCGCACAGGGGTCATTATGAATGTGAAAGACTAAAGCGACCAAGATATAATTATTGATCTAAGTAAAATAAATAAAACATACATATATTTGTGATTTAATTAGATTGAGAGAAAGAGAAACCTGTGAAGAAAACATATACATAGGTAAAAGGCAATACGAAAAAAAAGGGCGGGATTTCTCAAAACACATAGGGGCCTACTGTTTTTCCCTTTTCACAAATCTTTCTGATTTTTGATGGGGATTATAAAACAGCCGAGTGAATAATGCTTGCATAAAAGACCATTTACCTTACATTACCTTTTATTTACTTCGAGAAAAACATTCAGAAAACGAAATTAAGATATATTGTATTCATCTTGACGTAGAATTTGACTCCGTATATCTGTCACTAAGTACGCACAACATTACTTCATGTAATGGAACACGCCAGGTTTAAAAGTTGATAACACAATAGTTATCAAATTTTCTTGTCACGCTGTGGCTGTTACTACGTGTGGCCCACACTGTATAGCGTGTACCGAAGGCATTACTTGATGAGCAAGGGTGCCTTCGGGTATATATCATTTGACTGATCGCACTTTTTTACAAGAACAACTACCCTGGATGGCTAATGTGCCGTTTTCTCCGTGAATGTGTTTTGATATCAATAAAGATTTGTATTTTGTGTGTTATGCTATGTAGTACAAATGTATATATAGATAGTGTTTTATAAAGTGCACTGTAAGGAGATGTCGGTAAAAAGTGTGGTCGTCATGAGATAATTATTATTTTTTACCCACTTCGGTAGGTATATGTGAAGTACACAAACATGCTAGGTACTTTTCCTAGCATGTACACGCATGCATATGCACTAAAACTTTCGATTCATGCCTTATTTTACTGATCGGATGATTATTAAAATATAAAAAAAATCCTAGATTATGCGACATATAAAATTATAGAAAATGACACACTATTTATTGCGCTGAAAAACAGTTAGCCGGATGCGAGGATATCTTTATGGGCACAATTAACTTGAGCTATTAGGGCGACACTACTAAAGTGTCCTGATGGGATGCGATAAAATATGAAATTGTGATTAAATACGATGTGTCTATCGATCGACTTCACGTCAAGCTCTTTAATAGTGTTACAGAAACACATTTTAGTTCTGTCGACTAACTGCTGCAACATGTCTTTTACCATAGCACGATATTGGAAAGAGGATTTACCGCACCCGACGAAAGAAATGTTATTGGAAGTCGAAGGTTGCTCGTAAAGGACATGGCAATGTATAGCTGGAAAGCACTCGTACGCGTAAGCAGATCTGTTATACTTGTTCCAGTCACAGAGTAAACCATTTTGCTTTAATGTACAAAATTAAGTATTCCTTGTCATAGACCTTATTATTGCTTTTGTTATGTGTTAATCGCTTTCTTCGAGACAGAGGAAACTGGAACGTTAACGATCAATGTAACCTTGTAACATTAGCTTCTGGTTGTTGGTACCCTATGCAATATCTTTGTAAAATGAGATTAGTATCCCACTGGATATGTTTTAATAAATTGGAAAGATAAAGATTGGGATTTTTAACTGTTCAAGGAATCTGAAAAAGAGGTACATGGCATAAAAGTCCTTCCCATTAATTCCACTGCCGTCAAATTTCCGACAGGCATCACAAATGATAACAGCTGTTTGCAACTTGGAGCCGCGGATTTGTAATTCCGATCGCCGAATTAATGATCCTACTCCCTGTGAGCACAAGCCAACACTTTGACCGCTTTTATCAAGGTCTATCGCTGCAAACATACGGGTCCTATCCCTCGACCGCGAGCGTAAAAACGCGGGAGCTCTCTATAAATTTAGTCGGGATGTGCCACGCGGGCTGGCGAAGAGACTTGCAGTTCGAAGTTATAGGTTAATGTGATGCTCGCAGCCCCTAGGCAGGTCCGCACACCTCGCGGGGCAAGTTGGCATACATACTAGAATCCAAAAGAAAAAATATTTTTACCCCTTCCTATGCATTTTACCAGTAACAGAAGCAACCTAGGCAGTCAGCATTAAATAACGCTGCAGTAACCTCTGACAACTTCTTAAAATAAAACTGAGCTTAACAACAACAACAATAACAAAAACTGGCTTTGACAGAAATACGACAATATTTATTTAAAAACACTTTTTATCAGTCAATTAACAACAAATCGTATATCTCTAATTATTCTGATTGAGGTTTAGTAGTTACGTTAAAAAATAAGTCGTTTTCTCTAGTCTCCCTTAGGTAGTGCTTTTTTTTAGGTTTCTTTGAATTTAATTATAATTCCCGGTGTGCCCTATGAGTTTTAATTAAGATATTGAGTGATTAACTGCAATTTTTATCATGAAATATTTTGTTTTTACAGTCTTTATTTTTATTTGTCATATGATAATTGCAGTGATTTTTGTAAGTTTATATTTTCTTGGCTAATTGATTATAATCCGTTCCATTTTATATTCACCAGAAAGATGTATTACTTGCTTGAGAATGTTTTTACAAGATAGGGTGAATTTCCCATGTCTGTCTTCACTGCATTATTATTTATTTATTTATTTATTTATTTATTTATTTATTTATTTATTATAATTTTGACTTGCTCCAGACTCCAAGGAGTGACTTACGAAGGCATTCTGGATAGATTCAAATATTTATTTATTTTATTTTATTTATTTATTTATTTGCCACGTATACCCCCATACCTCAGCCCTATACATTAATGCAGGCTTTACTAGTTTAGCAATTAGTTGTAGATCTGTTACACGTTGGATGAGATTGTTCGTTGTGGAGTGATTGCTTTTAGTAAAAAAAAATGCTTTCATAGCCTTGCTTTTCAGATGTTATCTATAAGGGCACTTTTGAATAGTCCATTTGACTGAAATTTGGTACCTAGATAGGTGTTCACTTTTGATAAGTCAAGGTTTTCATTGTTGATAGAGAAGCAAATACAGTATTTGCTACCTGTTTAGCCTTGATGAAAATGACTAATGAGCAATGGTAAACGCTCACAAAAGGAATGTATCAACTAAGTCACTTTCGTAGGTTATAATTACATTATGGTGATGCATTTACAGCAAGGCAGTATAGGTCTACTTCCTCGCTGAGAGACATACATGTTTTAATATTCGCAATTGATTGAAAACTAGTTTTGTGTTTGAACGTGCATGTTTGAACGGACGAGATATACATAAAACCTATTGTTTAAACAAATATGTACAGCATACTAAGATGACCATTTTAAACTTGATTCTAAAATAAAAGTTTATACAGGGTTAGAGACGTAAAAACCGAGGGCCTTCCCTAGTTATAATGCTATAGAGATGTCTTCTCTAGCTATACAAATTTGTAGATTAGTCTTTCACACAATATTGAAACAGCTAGAGAAGACTTCTGGTAGAGGGTGCAGGAAGGGCTAGGAAGGCCAAGCCCCCCCCCTTCAAACATTTTTAACGATTTCAGTCCTAAGAGGAGGATAAGATACAGAGTTTAGAGGCCGAGACCACTTTTTTCAGCCAAAAATCATTAAAAAAATTACGTCACGTACCTAGACTCGAGTCACTCAATATTCAATTGTTTCCTGTCGTTGATTGCTCTTTTTTCCCTGAATTTGTTAAAAACCGAACAATCGAAATCGCTTCCTACTCGCCTGTGAAACTCGCCGAACCCCGTTTGTCGCAAATGTACATTATACCTGTCGAGTGCAATATCGATTTGAAAGTGCCCCTTTCCAATTTGATCTTTTTTTTTTTTTTTTTGATAATTTAAGTAGTTAGTTTTATTGGTGACGGAAGATTTTTGGAAACCTGAAAATGAAACACTATTCCTATATACAGTAATATTTGCATTTTTAGTAATACAAAGATCGGTTTATTTATACGACTATGTATATGCATTTATATTATTATAAGCCATTAATGAATAATTGTTTCCATTTTTCTTTTGTTTGTACGTGATAATTCTGCTAGATCTATTGAAAGCTTTTACTTGCACAGGCCGCTAGTTGTAGGCCTACACGTTGTGCACTCCAAGGAATATTCTATTTATTTTGACTATGCGTTGCCTTTAATCTTCGGGTCCTATGTTATAAAAAATAACAAATAATCGACCTGCTTTTATTTTGGATTCATGCATCGAGGGTATGATTGCAATTAGACGAAATTTATTGCTAACACAAGTATAATATCCTGATAGATACCATATGAATGATGATCCAGGCAATCTGTAAATGATCTATCAGTACACGTAGAAAAAAGGCCATCTTATGTTAATCACCTTGAACTGATCTTGACCGAGATTGTTTTGTCATTCACGGGGCAGCATGCAAACTTCACATTAAGAATTATATAATCATTTACACTTCATTTTGTATATTGAGAACTGTTGTTCCAACAGTATCATTTCTGTAAATAGCAACACGGTACACACGTCTTGCAGAACTCTGTCTGTACCTTAAAATCCATTTGTTTGCGGCCTCATGAATTAATAGTGAAACAAGATATTGTTTTGACCATAATGTTGTACATCGTCCGAAAGAAGAGATTAAATATTCCTAATCACAACGCGTGTGCATTGAGTTGATAGTAGAAGTGAGATGTGTAATCAATTAACAAACAATGGTCAATTTATATCAACCATCCTGCAAAAATAACACGATTAGTGCTTAGTAGGGCTACGTTTTATGGTTTTTCGAAAAGCAGTTATATATTACTTAGATTTGCGACTATATCATTTTATGCTTTCTTTTTTTATTGATTACATGATCGAAATGATTATCTTTAGGACATTTCGTACAGTTTTAATATTTGGTGTTAGTTAGTTATGGCCATTTGTATACTGTAACATTAGTTAGGGGCCCCTTGCATCCCGTGCGTTACACGTATCTTTATCAAAATACTTAGGAACATAGACTACCCGGCTAAATGTACATGTATTATATAGGTGTTGGAGAGTCGACTAAACAGAGATCTCCCGCTCGACACTGCAAGGACTAATTCTTATATGTTCAAACAGTCGGAAGCGAATTTGTGAAAGGGGGCAAAAAATAGGTACCGTAGGACCACTGTTTTCATACCGACACCGATTGGAGTTACGTACCAGCATAATCTTAAAAGGACCTTAATCCGTACCACAGTTTTGTGAAGAAATGCGTTGTTTTGAACAGTGCCTTAAAAATGTAATTTTTCATCAGTTATCCTTGATATTATGTATCCGATTCTAATTGTTATGAGAGCTTATATCCTATCTGATGATGTCAAAAAGTAGGTTATATGCCATGGGGTAACGGTTAAGCCATTAAATATACAGTATAATTTGCATAAGCAGTCACGAATTCATTAACAAGACGAGATAGGAGGCAGCATAACTTGATTAAATTTCGAGTTGGAAACTGGTCTCCATTATTACCAGACTCCTTTAATGAGTATCATTGATTGTATACTTTGAATCTTTTGCTCATCAATCATGAGTATCTGTCACTTGTTTTCAGACAAGGGCGCATGCCAGCCCAGCAGGAAAGATGTCTTACTCCTCAGAAACTGAGCCGGGAACGAAGGAGAGTGACTTTGTGGATAGAGGCATTTGTGTGGTACAAAATGACGATTCCAATCACAACGATTACGTAGATGGTGGCAGTGAAATTACCTCGAAGTACGATGAAATGTCACAATTCTCAGAAGATAATACACACAAAGAAGATGATCCAAAAACGAAAAGGACAAAAATAAGAAAAACGATCATCCGCATTGTGTCATCCAACACCGCCTTGGTTTTCTTTCTAATCGGATACTCATTCATCGGGGCGGCCATATTCCAAGCCATTGAAGCTCCAGTTGAAAGAGACGAGATTGAGAAGAACATACGTTCAGAAAAAGAAACCGTTGCAAGACTATGGAACAAGTCTTTGCATCTTTTATTTACTGCTCAGGGAGGAAATGTCAGTCAAACGTATGTGACAAACGAAACTGTCAACAGCACAGAATATACGTATCGGCAAGTGGTTGCCAATGGATTGCCTTTAAATGCTTCTGAATGGGAGGAAATGTTTAGAAAAGAGGTTGAGGGTATTGTGCAAACTAACAAGAATCCTAAGTGGACGTTCTGGGGATCACTGTTCTTCTGTGCTACAGTCTACACCACTGTTGGTACGTAATCACTGCTTATAGCTTTAATGCTATAAACATTGTATTTGGTTTCCATTTTACATGTACTTTATCAAATACACCCCATTTAGACCCCTTGATTAAAGATTAGATTTCCTTACGGTAAAAAGTGCAACACCAGTGCTCGGAAACTCCTGGTACATATAATTCCCGGTTCTGCAAACATCAATGCATCTTCTTTGTCAATTAATTATCTATTGAAACATGTACTAGTAGCAAACTGATTCGATAATGTGCCATATGTTAATATAACGTTGAGCTTTTTGCCTCGAAAACACACTTCGTTTTATTGCCTCCTTAATTTAGTCTGATCAATGAAGTGTGCGAAAAAACGAATAGCTTTGTTATATATGTATGTGTGAGGGAAATTAATGCATTTGGAAAACGCAGGTCTGATTAAGCTGCTCCAATAATGAATCATCTGGGGTATTTTCCAATTGAAGAAAGCTTATTACATCAAACAATTTAGTAATCAGAGGCGTCATAAGGATACGTGGACACAATAAAATATCAATATACTGTTCGCATAAAGTAAACATTAATATTGTGTTTTCTTTTCTATTAAAGGTTATGGGCATATTGTACCAAAATCGGACGCGGGCCGAATTGCAACTATGATCTATGCTCTCCTCGGTATTCCACTGTGCCTGATCACTTTGGCCAATTTAGGCAAGTTGCTGTCAAGAGTCATCAAATTTCTGTACAACGGTGTTCGGCGACAGTATCGAAAACTATGTGATTACTGTGCAGCATGTTGCAAAAGAGCAAAGCGAAAGACACATTTCACTTCTTCGAATGAAGCGATGGAAAACGGCGATTTAAAAGAACAGGAAGATTCGTTCAGACCCCATTTATCATCAACGGACACTGTCGATGGCGAGAAGGATATTGCCAGAAGAGCAGCAAAGGAAAGAAGGCGCACTGCCCGTGAAAAAGCCCTGGAAAAGATAGATGACAATTACAATTTACCAGTAGGGGCCGCTGCAGTCATCCTAGCGGTTTATATCGCATTGGGAGCATGGATGTATACGATCTGGGAAGTTGACTGGAAGAATTATCTAGAGGCTTTTTATTTCTTATTTATTTCACTCTCAACGATTGGGTTTGGTGACATTACTCCTAAACATCCTAATAACTTTATTGCAAGTTTTATGTATATTCTCCTCGGATTTGCGTTAATCTCAATGACCGTTAACGTGATTATGCAAGTGATGGCAAACAAGATTGATGATACCATTGAAAAAACTAAAAAGACAGTGGTGGTTGTCGAGAAAAGGGTTGCATATGTGGCGAAAAGTGCCGCGGATGTCACAAAGAGGAAAGCCACAATAGTGGGCAAAAAAGTCAGTGGAGCGATACACGGAGTTTGCGAGCGTGAGGAAAAGAAACCCGGAGCTTTAGTTAACGGTCTTGCCATGGCACGCAGTTTAACAGACAGTTGTAGTCAAATAGCCAAGGCGTCGAGCGACTCTGAAATCGCTGCACGAACAAGTGCGTTGCCTACTGATAGATCTCAGAGTCAGAATTTTGTCTTGGAATCAGCCTTGAAAAACGCCATACCACAGCCATTGCTAGATAACCAGAAAACAACTGAGATTGAAACCGTTCGTAGTGAGGAAGCATCTAATGATAAAGACTGCTGAATGCTACATCATCGGTAGAGAAGGGTGTGCGTCATTTGACCATCATGGTCCATGGTGATAACATGTCGGTTAATGCCAAGCAGACACTCAACGTAGATTAATCTCTTAGTTTAAAGTTGGCTTTGGACGTTGATCAACAAAGATCCAACATTGTTTCAACGTTGAATAGTTAACTTCGAAAACATGATGTTAATGCATTGCTCAGTATAGGTCAACTTAAAATATCGACATTGTACGTGTAACAGCGCTGGGTTTTGAACCAAAATTAAACGATCTCCCTTTTCAAATAATCTCCATTGGTTCTATACAAAGCTATTGAATTTCAAGAGCAAATTTCTATTATCGCGCCACAACAGTACAAGATGGCAAGATTTGCTTTAAGTGCTTTAAAAGTGAATGTCTTTTTAAAGATGCAACGTTGAATTTAATATAATTACATTTTAGGTGTTTATTCAACATTTATATATAAGTATTGTTAGTCTGCTGGAAGACGGGTTTTGTAAGCCGTAATGCTGAAAAATGAACAGAGACATTTTCAATTATCGTGTCACTGCAGAATAAATTAATTGCAAGACAAGGTCGCTAAAAAATACAAGTTACTCCCATAGCGCATACTAGCCCCGCCGAGGCTGTGCACCCGGGCTTACACATGCATCCCCGCACATGCCCAGTAGCAAAGTTCGACTTCTTTTTGTTACTTATAACATTTTAATGCCACTTAAGCTTATGTATTGTAGTAATGCGCCACTTTTTGCCAGGCTTTTTACTTCACTTATAAGCTGTGATAAGTATTCGGAAAAGAAAAAACAAATGCCACAATGGACTCTTATCAAGTCTGTTTTTATTCAGAATTTATTTAATTAGTTTAATGTTTTAATATTTTCTTCAAATATTCAGTTTTATGTCCCAGAATGTCAAATGTATTTCGTGAAATAAAATTTTATACGTTGTGTCATTTTTTCGCCAGGTGAAAATGGAATAACATATTTGCTCAGTTTTGGCTTTGGTGTGTGTATTTTATTCATTTCTTATCAAATCCCTGGAAATGCATCCATGCACACATTAATGTTACTTGGTAATTGAGCGATCTAGATTCTAGGACAGGTCTCCAATATCATAAGACTGGGTAAATATAAGTAGTCACTTACCACCCATTAATACTGGTCCACGTCTGGTTTAATGTGCAATTGTTTTGATGACTAGTCATTAAGGCCGCCATAAGCCTTCGGAGACACTGTGTAATAAACTTGGAAAGCAGAGACTACACATATAATACATTATAAAAGTAGCGTTGGAACAAGCAGTCAGTATTGCATATTCATGGATGTGTAAAACTGACAAGACTTGGAGAACAGCAGTAGAATGCTTCCTATTAATGTCACTTTAACTGGCAATGTTGGACATTGAGAACATGGTTTTGTAATGGTGACAAATATGCTTTCCCTTTTTCAAAATTATCTTCTCTTTTTAATCATTCGTGAAATTGATACATTCAAAACCAAAAGTAGCATTAACACGTGCGCTCAAAATGAGATACATTTTGTTGACAGAATCTCTTAATTTTTCATCTTACTTTTACGTCTAGACCAACAAAAGACCCCCCCCCGGTTAAGAATATAAATAGTACACAATAGAACTAGCAGTGTAGAGTTGAGTTTGCATTTTATTGTGTTAGAGGAGCAGGCTGATGCATCTAACACAAGCAGTTAATCATTTGCATATTTGATACATTTTCATTCAGGGTGGTACCCCATGAGTTTGCACATTTTTTTCTATTTTCAACCGTGTCTTTGTGGGAGAAAGACTTACTCATATTCTTCTTCTTTTGGTGTTTCAAACTAACTTGACTTACAATTTATATTTTTGGGACAGGCATAAATGGCGAGTTTTAATATTAAAATATTTTGTAAACCTTGTGCTACTCAGATTGACTTTTGAAAAGTTAAGATTGAAGAGATTTGACTAGATCATTAACTTCCATGTATTAGAAAAGCATTTTAATACATTCAGTATGGGCAGGATAGTATAATACACTGTAGTTGTGAAATTAATCTATAATATTTCAAAACTTTTTCATTTTAAAAGCTCACACAGTGCTTACATTTGTATTATTTTTTTTTCTAGTTTTTTCACGTGTCCTGGGTATTCCCGGTTTTGAAATAAACAGTGATCCAGTGAAATTACTTCTGTCTTCCATGATTCAGTCGCGTTCCTCGTGTCTTCTCCTCCCCCCTCCACCGTCCCGCTTTTGTCGGAAAGAGGACGAACACACGATATTGTTTTATAAACGACGCCCTTCCTTTCCTGGGATCACCTGCGCATCAGTTCCATGTCTGGTATAATAGTATATATAAACGGATGTATTCAGCAACTCATCATGTCAGATTTATCAACGTCTGGAATGAAACAAAGAAAGCTCAAAGGGATTTCATCAAGCTCGTTTGAACAGTTAAAAGCATCTAATGGCCCTTTACAACATAACCTTCAGTGTGAATGAGTTAGACGAGCTGGCACAGATCAGTTACACTGATCCCTCAACAACAAGCGTATGACATACAATGTGTTTGTTGAGTAGACTTGATTGCACCGTTTCAATGAACTGTACGGATGAAGTATCACAGGGGCCTCAAAAATAGTATACAAAAAAACAGGTCACTGAAGAAGGATCACTGCCTTTACCTTTATAAAATATTGTTGAATTGTGTTAAAATCAAAATATTTACTATCGTCTAATTATTAATGACAATACATTATTTTGAGCTGTGATGAAAATGAAAACTGATGAGAAAATATTTTTTTTAGAAAACCCGCCTTTCACAAATGTAGTGAAATGCCACTTGGGTTTTGTCCATTACGGAGCCACTGGCTTTGTTACTGCTTCCTTTCTTCACACTTCTTACTTCAAATAACACAATCCAAGTTTGTCGTGCAATGCAATTGATCTTGAAACCATTCAGTTAGGCCAGTGAGAAATTAAACTCAACGCATGCAGTCAGTCATACACCGAGGTCAGTTCAGGTGACACATCACGTCATCTGGAGTCTGCACAGAAGCATCCCCCATGTTTCAGAGGTCACTGGAAACTCGCATCTACATTATCAGCGGGTCTTTTTGATATTTCCATTGTCTGGATAACATTTTAGCATCTGGTGATATCTTAAACTAGTGGTGCACAAAAGTGGAAGCAGAAACCACCAGAAGTCTATAATGCTAAATAATAACAGGATATTGCATAAACACTGACAAGAATTTAGATTAAAAGTAGATGTTATAGAACAGACACACATGGGTATTAAACTGAACTCTCAATTTATCACACTCATGACAATAAAATGATAGTCCATGATGGAACCCTTAGTCACCCAGCTTTATCTGGCAAATAGGTGACAATTGGAGAAGTGAACATCCAATTAACTTGTAAGTTGTAGTCGCAAGGTGATAATTGCTTAATTTACAGCTACTGTATGCCACCGCATTAAATTGCACTTGTCTGACATGTATGGTAACTAAAACAGTAAATTAACAAGCAGGAAAAAGAAGCATTACAAATAATTTTTACAAAAATATAAATTTATTTGTACACTTCTATAAAAGATAAAAATCATTTTCATCATAAAAGTAAAGATGTCTATGTACAATGTTTGCAAAACACATATTGTGATGATGCTATCTTTATCAACCATCTAGTTTACATGCTGGACTTTCTGCATGGAAAATATGCAATCAAAACTTGGAAAATATGCAATCATTAATATAAGGTTTCTATCTCTTAAAACGTACATTATTTCTTAATCAAACATCATTTCACATTTAAGACATGAGTGAGTTCTGAAATGACAATTTGAAAAACTGACAAAAATAAAATATGATGTAAACATTACATGTATACCATGACTGGAACTGTTATTTGTTATCAAGGCAAAGCACCTTATGTCTGGAATGCATCTCAGCACGAGTTCACATTCACTAATTGACAGTTACACCTTTACCTGCTGCTTACACTTAATACAGCAAGACAAGTATGATATCTTGGCAGTGAAGTAGGTCTTAAACTCATGTGCCAAAAAAACAATAATGAAAAGGAAAACACAGTTTGCATTGGTACATTTCCATTCTGCCCCATGTAATGCACAGATTAAAAGACATCCAACAGTCATACCTCTCACAAAATTCTTAAAAAGCTTCCATTCTACCAATAACACATTTAAGTAGTAGTGTGGCATTAAAGCATTCCACAATGCAGTCTTACTGAGTTCTGCTGTCTGTACAGTAGTTCTTAGGGCTTCTTCCTTACTCTTTACTTGGTACCAAAGTGCTGAGAGGAACTGGTTGTTGCTGTAGTAAACTACATTTATTGGGTGATGCATTTAACCCCATTCAAAGCACAAGAATATTTATAAATGAGATTAAACCTTAATTTATCTGACTAAACCATGGGAGACAGTCTTGGACAGCTGTTTTGTCCCTGCTCATCTTCCTGTTGTGCCTCAATGGGTGTGTAGGGTGGGGGTGGGATGGATGAAAGATCTACATGGTAGGATGATACCTCATTGTCCAGCAGGCTTGCAGTTGAACTGGTCAATAAGAAAAATGGGAAACATTACAATTTTATAATGGTAAAATAGACCACTCATCTGAACGAAATAACTCACAGAAAAATATAATAATAATAATAATAATAATAATCTCTTAAAAACCTGACATCAACAAAGCCTACACTGTTTCATATTTTCATAATGGACACAGTGCATGTACATAAAAAATGTTCTTCATAACCATGTTGTATTTTTTAGATGTTCTTACATCTACTGAATTTGTAACTGGGTCTCAATATTCAGAAAAGCAGCAGCTTATTCTAAAATCTGATACACAGATTAGGAATTTTCTTATGATGGACTGAAATTGTAAACACAGAAAAAGCTAGTACACTATCATTTTTCATTCAATATCCTACTTTTGCTTTTAAGTAATACAGTTATTTTGGCAACAGATGAAAAAAATATTAATTCCATGCCCACATATAGTCACCATAAGACCGAACTTCTTTCCACATTTTTCAACCATCCATAACAGTACTAACAACTGCTTTTAGGATCTTGTTTTACTTCAAGTCAGTATTACCTGTTATCTATCCCCACGAGGGGCTTCCATGTGTCTAAGCCTGGGCATCTAAATGCTTTAAGGTGGTAATTATACAAGGTTGATCAATGCTTGGCAAAAACAATCCAGCTTTTTTTCAAATTGATGCTCATCGGTAAAACTAACAAATATTATTACAAAATCTTGAACAAACAAACCTTTCATCAATGACTTCTTCCACCAGTTCTTCCCCGTGGGAGGTATGCCTGGAAGATGGTTGGATGTGTGGAGAGGAAGCGGTGCCCACTGTGGTTACTGGAAGGTTCAGGTAGTGACTGGTGCTGTAAGGTGGAGGATCCTCTGGCATGTCTTGCACCTCTTCATAACTAGGTAAATGGAGCCCTTTATCTACATACCAAGAAAATAATATTACTAATGTCATGGAATACCAGTAGGCATTACATGGAAACTGGCATACTAAGTATTTCAATAAATTTAGATGTTTGTTTGTGGATAAAATGGTGTTTGAACCAGTTAAACTGGGATTAGATTTGATTGGTTGAGACTAGAACAAACTAAACATGCTCCTATGTTGGTCCTACAACGTAGGTTGAGAAGGGTGGAATTTGCAACAATATCCTTCTCCCAATGAGCCTCGTTTCTATCAGTGACAGTGTAAGACAGAGGGAGTATATACACATCTGAGGGTCTGTGAAGTATTTGTTATATTTTTCTTTAAAAGTTTAAACATAGTGATGTGATAAATTCTTTATGCAATTACTGGAGGGATACCAATGGTATGTGCACCTCAACTTATTATATATATATAATTCCTGTATTTATTTCCTGCATCCTACACCTGATTGTTTTCAAATTCAAATTTATTATAACAAAAAATGTCTATGTCAAATCAAACTAACCTGGATCAAATAAAGGCTGAAAAAAATTTATTGTTCTATTGCCCCTTCTACTATGCCTTCTTCTCTGAAGAGCTTGTCTTTTCAACCGCCTGTGTTGATATATACAACAGAAGCTCACTGCAGCTATGATGACCCATATCAGCCAAAACCCTGAAGCAAAAGTCCTTGTTTGTTCTAAATGATGGTTTACTATGCAATGATAAATAATATGTTTTGCTCAAGTACTCAAGAAGACAAATACTTGGTCTGGCAGAGAGACAACACTCTACAATAATGTAAAACAAGTATTAATATGGTGAAACTTGGAAACTCTCCCTAAAATTATCATTATTATTATCATCATCAATACATCATACAAACTTTACTCTTCACTTCTTTTTTCTTTCTCAACATACCATTTCAAATCTCTCATTTAAAAAATACACTCCCTGATGAACAGATGACAAAATATTAAGTCATATAACTGCAATTAAAGTACAGATACATGCAGTACCATTGTCAAATTAAGTTGAGTACTTACACCACAACTCATAATAATATGTACAACATTTCCCTTTCCCACAACAATGAGACTCTTCACAATAGAAGTCTGAATCAGGACAGTAATCCAAAGCCTGAAAAGAAATAAACTACAACTGAAAAAACTGTCTTGGCCAAGATCATAAACTCCCTACTATTGAAAACAATCTTATGTTATTTTTCAACATTCATACCTTTGAATGATATCTATTGGGTTCTTTTGCAAGAAAAGTTATGTGTAAGCACTGTTATAAGTGTATTTTCTATGTCTACTTCAGACACAGGGGCTATTCCCACAGATATTTGAATCGATCTATCTCCCTGGGGAGTCACACTAAATTGCTGTCAACTTGGCTGACTTTAATGTCTGTCACACCTAGTAAAGCTGTTAGGGGGTAATTATCTTTACCCCTTAGCTGATTTGGTAGGCGTGACAGACATTTAAGCTGGTTAGTTGATAACAATTTAGGGAGACTCCCCAGGGAGTTAGATCGATCCAGATGGATCGATCTATGTATGGGAACCCAGTCGTAGTTGATATCCAAAACCCTACTAATACATGAAATTGCTAGTTAACACATTTTTTTTTTGTGCGAAGGGTGTTGGCATAGTTGCATGTATCAGCCAATACAGGCACATCTGCCAAAATAGTGAGTACTAGGTACATCTGGTGATTAAGATTTACATTGAATTAAGTAGCTTTATTTCAAAACATCTTTCAAATAATGTATATTTATATATTTAAAAACCTATAATGGGAAGGGGGGACACAAGGAACAGCTAGAAATGTGTAATCAATGCAAAAGAACAATAGAAATTAACTGAGGCACAGAGCGCGCGACCTTGATAATAATCTGTTCAGGCTCCCGTGGAGCTATCAACACAGCTTATTTGAGACAATGGGCGAATGATTACCCGAACACACACGTCTTCAAAGGAAGATGCCGCGTTTCAAATCCCTTCATAATTTTGTCCATGCCCTAGGAAAATACTTTGATCTGCAAATAGCTTACAAGTCCAACACTGCAAATCTTTCATCAAAATAGAGTAAATTACCATGTCATTCAAAATTGTATTTTGAACTCCAAATAATTATTTTGGTGATGATTCCTTATTAAAATTAATTTGGACAGGAGAAAGTTTCATTTTAAATGCCAGTTATCAGTAGAATATACTCATATCTGACGCCTATTTTTTTTTTTTTTAATGTACATATTATGGCAGGACACATGTCACGTGCTTTAGGTTCATTTACCTGTTAATAATTTAAATATCTCATGCTTACTAGGACCCGGTTTACTTTAAGTCCAAAGAAACAAAAGGTTAGAGTATACCCGGTGACATCAGGACAAGGCGGAAACGTCACACATTTACTTTTCATTCAATTCGTAAACAACTGCATGCGTTCACATAAATTCAGACAAAGTAAACCTTTCTTTAAAGGAAGGTAATAAACTTCAAACTGTGACATAATGCCGACCACTAACTCTGTTTCAAAACTATATGGTCAACACATTTACTCAAACAACATCTTCGACATATAAATAAAGACAACAGAAAACACAAACTGGGAAATCTCTTTAAACCAGCTGACTACAAATAACAAGCCACGACCCTAAATAACCGCACATAAAACGTTTGCGCAACAATTAACTTTTCGACTTCCATATTCCACCTGTAAAACTTATTGTTAAAGTTTATCATTCACAAACCTTTATCAAAGAAGCTGAATGAGAAAATAGTGTAATAATCGCCACTTTGAAAGTTTCACTCCCCATTCTCTTGTCATTTTGCGTTGGCCTCGATTTGAAATTTAAACGCCAACGGTTGGATTGTCATGCAAATATTGGTGGCGCCATCTGACGGCCGTAACGTAAATGGCTTCGGCAAAGCGACTTATTGTAAATCTGTCCGGTGTAACGATACTGAGGGTCCATGTTGCAGAGACCCCGACTTCGATATAGTTATAATGGTTAGTGTTAGTCTGACCTACAGTAAGTGGGGCAAAATTTAGGGCGAGGGTTACCTGTACAAATGAATTGGAAGCGGACTCTCTATCATGGGGGACTCCGTCACGTTACAACGGTCTGTCCGGGTGGGCATGTAGCCTACTCTGACCGGGTGCTTGTAATTATTCATATAGCACTTTTTTTGCATTCATGTTACTTCACGTCTGTATTTTGTATTGGAAAATATTAAAATTATTATCAAGTACGCGTTGATAGTATATCATTATACATGTATAGGCCTAATGATAGTAGGCCTATATCATTATACATGTCCCTATGTGTGTAATGGGGGAGCGGGAGGGGTGTTTGCTCGAGTGGCTAAACATAAAAAAGCGAGGCAGACATAAAGCAGGAAATGATGATGCACAAAATAGTTTTTTTTTTTTTTCAATTTTGATGCAGTATTACATAATGCTAAACAGCAAAATCAACATCAAATTTTAATTATGCACAACGGGTAACAAAGACAGTAGGCCTACATGTAGGCCTACCGGTACCAGTAAGGCCTACTAAGAATAGCACGTTTTTTTTTTTTTTTTTTTTTTTTTTTTTTGAAAAATGAACGTTTCACAAAAATGCATTAGGGGCCTACGTGCTTCAAGGAAAAGAAACGAATTGAACTGGGTTTCTGACTCAAAGCTGTATTTTATTCCTAAGAATCGTTCTTGTAAGTGTGACTCACTGAGCATAATGTAAGTAACACAGTTTTCTTTATTACTGCTAATGGTGCACAAAATTGGATATTTTTCAATTTTGATGCAATATTGCATAATGCTTAACAGCAAGATCAACACCAAACTTAAATTATGCACAACAGGTATCACGGATATTAAGAATATGCAACAGAAAAATGGCACATGAGAGTTCAAATTCACACAATTTTCATGTCAGAATGACAAAAATGAAAATTAAAAAAAAAAAAAATGCATAAATTCCAGAAAAAAAATCCTGTCAAGCTATATGTTTCCAATCTAAGTTGTATGTCAATCTTAAGAAACAAATTTTCAAGTTCAAGAATAATAAGTATAGGGCCTAACATAAACTGCATAGCTTAATGAATAACGATTGGGCTGAATTTTTGGACTCTATCTGTATTTTACAGATATATATTAATCAAATCTGTAAGTTTGAAGTCAAAAGGCCAAATGGTTGTTCACTTAAATTGTTGTCTCTGAAGTAGTGTACGGCATCGGCGACGTAACCAGCGACGACAGACAAAGGCGATGGATGGATGTACAGAAACGATGTACACATTTACGTAAACAATGTAACTAACATGGGTAAAAAAAAATGCCACCTGGTTCTTACGTTTTAAAATGTGATAGGCCGTCTTAAGCACACTAAGAAATCTACGGAGGTACGGTGCCTGTAGGCCTACTATTATAGCACCTGGGCCCAGTACCCGTTAGGTCTACCGGAACGTTCCAAATAATTGATACTCGGTGAGATCTTCAGTTTGCGACGCTTAAAACTAGGTTGTCTAAGCTCTTTTAATTTGCCTCTCTCAGTGATGTACTGTACGGAAACTGTTAAATTGGTAATACAATGTACCGGTATGTTTCCTGTAAACTTTGAAAAAAGGGAAATTCTTAACTACATTGTACACCTAAGATAGTAAAAAATCGACTGGAAAATAGCCCCTCACAAGCCAAATTACCTTACCCGAAAGAGATACTCGCACAGTTACTCTTGTAACTCAATTACTCTATAGATACAAGTAGGCTTACATGCATATTTGAATTGCATTCTGTGCATGTAGGGCGGCTCTGAGGTTTATTTCCGGCTAGGAACAACCCAATAACGTTGTTTCATGGGTCCAGAAGTTTCATCCAGGTGGTACATTCTGTATGGACTTGCACCCACCTTAGGGGACTTTGGGGAAGGCATTCTTCAAAATTTCCAAAGAAAAATATTTTTCAAAAGATTGAAAAAGAGGAGAGATAATTAGCTCGCGCGAATGTTTGTTTCCTTAAAAAGGTGTAAAACGCGTTCGGGTGTATTATTTTCCTATTACCGGTTTGATTTTGATCGGTCATAGAAAACGCTGGCTACATTTTGGGTTTTACTCGTGAACGGAAAAATGGATAGATGAGTGAAATCACTGTAAATCAAATCAAAATCAGTACAAAGTTGTCTACTAGACTTCCTCACAGTACCCGCAAACCATGTCACACTGATTACACGCATAGCAGGGAATTTATTCATTTAAATGCATGTACGGTAATATAGTTTATAAGCAGTAGAAGGCTAGCAGCAAACTTCTTCCCAAAATGGAGAAAGCTTTAATGAACGGAAGAAAATTTTAAAAACGTTTTATTTCGCAGCCACAAATGTATTTGCTCAAAGTTGACACGTCAATATTCAGATTTTAAAATACCCACCTTGCTTTTGTAGCATCCTTTATATTGATAAGCAGTTCAGCTTTCTTTGACTATTCTTAACATACTCTGTCACTAAGTCTATAAATACATATACGATCCATTTAATCTTAGGAAAGCCATCCTACCGCAAATCCTTTTTCTCGAGAGCAGAAGGAACCATCAATAACAGATAGGGTTCTTGTGTCATTTCCTTCAATGTATTACTCTGGTGATTGTCACTGACAAAAATCTGGCAAGGCGCATGTTAATGAAGGCAACATGACTTTGCTGGACTAATAAGAAAGATTAGGCCTAGAATGGAAAAAAAGTACCTTGTTTGGGCGCATTAGCCAGGCAAAGAAAATGTCAATCAGATAAATATTGTTAAATTAAACAATATACTAAACCCTGCATGCATGTAAGGCTGACACATCAAAGTATTTCCTCAGAAAATTAAGATCTTGCACGAACGCAGCGTCACAGACAGATGCCAGCTCTATACTTGGTTTTTCTTTAGGTTCCTGAGTTTCTGGGAATGTCATTTTGTGGGAAAGTAACATTAATCTTTCTATCTCCGAGCCCACGACCCCGCTGCCAGGACTTTCCAGGAAACCTGATTAGAAATAAGATAAAGAGATGACAGTCTCTAAGAATTCACTAAGGCCCTTATATTCAGTATTCACTATGAGCAAATCAAAGTGGTGGTGAAATACTCTCACTCATCATTGAAACATCTCTTTTAGAAAATACATTTTACAGTCGTACTGACATTGATTGTCCCGCTTTAAAACGAAAAGGGTGTTCAAACACACAGAAAAAGGGCTCTTTTGTGTCCACGATATAAAAGTCATGGATGACACCACACTATATTACAAGGTTTATTGCACGGTTAAACAAGGTGCCCCAACTACACAAAACAAACTCCCTGTGGCAGCCTCGAATCTTCATTAATGGACAAAGCCGAACAACATGCTAATAAATCCTAAAGAAAAACTATCTAACGGTTTCTTTGTTTTAGTAGAAATCCCATTTGGCCTGATAACTTCACCACAGAGGTTATAAAAAGTTGACGATATATTGAAACTTCTAGGACTCTATTTCATCTCTAATTTTGTTAATGGGACCTAGACATGGAAAATATTCTCTCCAAGACTATATCTTGTGCATGGTCAAACATGAAGAAAAATGGTCCTATAAATTGTTTGAAAAAACATTCTCAGACGGACTGAAAGTAGACATAATATGTAGACATTATGCTGGAGCTGTGAGGGATTCCCATTTTCATTCTCTGATTCGATACCTCTAGAGAACACCCAGTAAATGGCTCTTCACGTGATAAACTTAAATACAAAGAAGCATGGGATTTCTACTTGTTCGTGTAAAAATGTTTCATGAGATTAAATAAATGAAAAAGATTGTAGGAAATATCATTCTTTGGTTATCTTTTACCCCATTGATGGACTGGTTTATACATGTTTCAATATGAACCATGCCTTTTCATGATAGAAAGTATTGTTAACATCTCTCTTTAAAATGTTTATTTTAAAGATTAAATCTAACTTCATTTTAAAATATTTCATAAATGGATTGTTGCGTATATTACAAGGATAGAGAGAATACCAAAAAGCCTTATTATTTATGATAAGCTTCTTTGATATCGGTGGAATGGTTGGAAATATAGAATTTTTTTATTATCAATGTCGAGACCTGCAAATCGTTCGAAAAGTATGATCTGTGTGTAAAGATAAGTATATCAAATTGAAATGCCTGTTTAAAGAAACCGACGTAGCTTAATTTATTTTGTGTGCATTCTATAGAACTGATCATTAATCCGCTTTAAAATGTTTGGTTATAATTTCAATGACTTTCAAGTGATTTACTATACGAAAAAATGTTTATTTACTGTGCATATAGACCCAATGTTTCTAAAATCGCAGGCCATTGTTATCAAACCCAAAAGGCGAATAAACCAGTCACTAAGGTCGGAACAAGCATGACACCTCAGAATAATGTTGCTTTTATACATGTAAGCAATACCATAAAAATACATCAAAACCAATAACCATAACTTATCCAGTATCAATAACAATAATTTATCCAGTTTAGCTGAAATTTATTTCTGTTACCTTTATTTTCATGGGTAAAGTACTTGACCATTAGATGTAAATGTCACAAGATATTGCAGTTTTTACTATGTACTATACTCTATGAAGAATACGTACTGGGGTACTTACTGAAAATATTAAGTTAATAAATGTATGTCCTTTCATGAGATGCATGACTATGCCTATCACTGTGTAACGTAAGACAAAAAGACAGCTACCGCAAATGGTTTGATCGTCAAAAACACTATCTTTGGTACAATATATCGATTACGACCAATTATGCCCCCCCTCCCCCCGTCGTCATTTGTGGTCACCATATAAAGAATCCCATTTCGCTCTTTGCAGAAAAGACTTTTACACACAATGGACAATAGAAGTGTCACCCCCTGAATTAGAGTAATCAAATAATATTAATCAAGTAATCAATAATCAAAGTAGACAGATCTTGAGTAGTTATAATGCCTGGTCTACATTTTTTATGTGAAATTTCCTGTTAATAAAATGATACCAGGAGCATATCATTCCACAGTCATTTATATCCCCCAAAGTATTGGTTCAGTAGGGGTGACACTTCTATTGTCCATTGTGTGTACAAGGATTTTATGCGAAGGCGAAAGAAAAAAGTATTTCTGTTTTATTCAATATGTGTTTAAAGTTTTTACGTTAAATTTATGTCATGTGGCTCTTTGTATCAAGAAGCGTACGAATTTTTATTAACTGTGGCTTAAAATTTTACCTAATGTTGTTTCTTTACAGTAAATCCAAATTCACTTAATTGTAACTGTGTGCTGTTGTATTAAAATATCTGTGAGTATGCCTTGGGATTGTTTCTGCGCGTCATTAATCTGACATTATTATATCAATATTAAAGAAAGGCTATGGATATCAACTTATGCTGCAGGCATTGCCGTTTACTTTTAAACAGTCGAAATGGCAACCCACTTACGGTGTATATGCAGCCTAAATAACAGTTGGGAAAAGGTCGACTGTGTGATTGAAAGACAACAAAAATGTCAATCTAGATGGTTAATCATTGACCATAAATTGTGTATTGCAACATGCCTTATGACTTTTAAAACGCTTTGATATTGACAGTTCATTTGAAGTCTAGGAAGGATGCCGCGAGATTCAACGTGGCCTATTAGCCAGGTCACCCACATTGCTACATATCAAGAAGTTGCAATTGTGATGTATGCCATTAGGGGGTTCGAAACGTTATTAATGGCTATGACCTAGTATGGCAAAATAGCTCCCCCCCCCATGTCCTTTGCATAAGGTGCCTATCTTGATATACCGGTAGTGCAGTAAAAATACACAATTTTTGGATAAAAACTCCTTTTTTGTTGTTTTAGTGGCCACCCTTCGCGCTTTTCCACACAGGGTATCCAGGCGTGTATCGGTGTGAGATAGTGATCAGTTCTGGAAATAACTCCGTATCTACGTCAGATTTTCAGGATTTTATCATGAAAATAGGCATGGTTGACGACCAGGGTGTGAAGTTCAATTCAGTGGTGTCTGTTGATTGTACATTCTTTGTTTAGGAGATGTGAGCCCTCAATTATGATATTTCATTAAACAAAGACATTATTTCGCCTCTTTACTGACAAAATCAGTGGTAAGCCTTTCAAAAATGTAGTAGTTATTGTTGTGATTAAATAGATGTTAAAGGGGTGTTGATAGCTGTTTAAGTGAATGGGGTCTGTTTGAAATCGATATTACAGTTTTCACCAACAAAGTGTACCTGTTATGGCCTCGATTAAACAAATTCACCCTGATGCAATTTTAAATGTGACAGCTATATCTCATAACATGCCAGTTTTTATTTCCTTGTCATATTAGCGAATAAGGGCGGAAATCCTAACGCATACAGTGTATAACCTCTTGAGTGTTATATTAGGTATATTACACAAATTGACTTGGTTATGCAGTTAGGTAAAAAAAAATCACTGCTTAGATTTGCCAAACGCGATTGCCAGAGGCCGACCCTACACTGTAAATAGCCCAGTGAAAATAATTGCTAATGCTAGATGACTTTGCATTAAGGTAATAATGGTAACCCTGATAATCTGTGCCAAGAGTTCATGTTGTAAAATGTGTGTTATTGATGTAACAAGTATGTGTAGTTTCAATATTAATTAAATTGAAATGTCAATAATCTCATTATCATACATTTTGTCCAGTCCTGTGGCGATCGAATTATACAGAAACTATCGTTGTGTTTCTTAAATTATTTGCGTAATTGTGGTTTCTGCCAATGCTCTGCCGGCTTCAGTTATGACCCCAGGGAATTTGTTCCCCAGTTCATGACTTGTTTAAGCCCAGTAGTTCCTGGTAATGGCAGTTGGTGTATGTCGGGGCCGAAGATTAGATAAATACAGATATTAAGCATTGCATGCCCAGAAAAATGTGTGTTTGGATAAATCTGTGGAAGACATTTCGAATTCCACATTTTTTTCTTTATTGAATGCTGCATTGGAATGACCGCAAGAGAGGAAATTAAAGAACACCACAATTGCAAATTTCTTGAGACGGTAGAGCATGATAAAGATCATCAGAAATAAGGAGTGAAATCGCGCTTCCTAAAATTCAACAACCCTTGGTCACATCAGTTATCACGCTAGAATGATAAACGTGACGCTGACAGGAACCCTTGTCAGAACATTTTGGATACCCATACCTCAGAGGTATCCACATTAGGCATTGTTTAATATCAACTGTGAACAACAGAAGAATGACCCGTCGTCGAGAGGCAACCTTAAGAAAAAATCACTGCTGTCATATAACACAGGATTTCCGTCCGCGTCTGTGTTAGACGTTGTTGTCAAGCAACGAAGTGAATGGAAAAGGTGACATCTTCAGCGTTGGTATAGATTCTATTGGTGATAACTCGGAGTGGCATTTATGCTGCAAACGATATGATGTGGCACAAAACGTAAATGAAGAAAACTGAAACATCACCCCTTTTGTCAATGTAGATTTTACATATTCGTATGATTTAGTTCAAGATTAAATCCTCGTCTGTTGATAACGTGACATTTCGGCATTATTGTGGTAGATTGGAAGTTGGTTAGTGAGCTTTGAACTACATTGGACAATGTAATTCGGATCAGTACCATACACTCTTAAAAGGAATTCTATTAGTTGGGAGAAACACAGGGAACAAAAATCGTACGTCTTTGGAAAAGGGAACACTTTGGTGTTCATTTAATGCAAATAACAAATACGACACGCACAGAAAGTGGGAACATGCGTTATTCAGCTACAATAAAAATACAGGTAACAACAATTTCTCGTCAACGGAAGAACTAATATCTTCGGTTTCTTTGATTCATGAAATGTGTATATAGAGGACGCTACCTTTAATAAAGACTTGTGGTAGAAACCAGTAGGCATGTATAATTTGGTCATTGGCGCTGTACATATATGCAACTAAATTGATTTAAGGGGGAGAAAAGCAGACGCAATATTGACTTTTCACGTGAACAGCGTTTCTAAGGAATCAAAGAAACTGCAGGAGAAGGAATGGAAGATGGCACCACAAAGCATACCTTGCGGGGTGAGTACGTTAATCACCGTAGCGCTCGGCGTTACTGAGTGGCATGGCTTGACACCATCTACGATGCAATGCACAATGCCACGATGTACGTTATATAACGAAAGTATCGTAAGGTTATGTGTCGTAAGGTGACTTTCAAAGCACATTGCTGATGATTGTTTCATCTTTCGATAAAAAGCATGTTTGTGGTGATGGAACAAACCATTAAAATATATTACATATTCACATTGGCCATTTCAAAAGTTATTATCGACAACAAAATATTTGTTGATTCCAGTAAAATAGGTATAATAAAAAATAACTGGACCCAGTCGTTTGCTTGCAACATCCGAACACAAATTTTTTTCTCCAAAATTTTCTCGACACCCGAGCGAGCTGATGTTGACTGGAGACCAGTGCGCACCAATGTATGTTTTTATCGCGTATGAAAAACAGCGGCATATAGATATGATAACAACAGAGTTTGCTGTCGGGGAGTTATGACACAGTCTGTTAGCCTCTCAATATAGAGCACAGACTGTCGTCAATCGTTTCGTTGACAAAAAAGGATGTTCATTGATTTTTTCTCGGATTAGAATGCGTCAGCTATGCTAAATAAATTGTGATAATATTTCTGACACACATTTTAATAATGAAGTAATCGTGTTTCGACGCTCCAGTAATATCCTAGGCTTTGTCAGGCAAATAAATACATGTTGTTAGCTGCTTTCTCATCTTGACACCCGTTTTTTTCATGGCGTCATTCCCACTCTATTTTATACTATGGTGTAAGATGTAAAGAAAAATCCAATAAAATAACTGATAGACATCCCCTACCTCCTTATACATGTACTCAAAAAATTCGCAGTGTTCGTAGGTTTTATATACCTGGTATGTTTGCGATTACCAGCATGAGGAGAAATGATAAATTTCTTAATTGCATCAAATCAGATCACCCCCGGAAGTCGTCAACTAAAATCAATATTCACCATCAGGAGCAGCAAGGTATATTTCTAGTAGTAAAGACAGAGGACAGCGTTAAGGATGGGAAAGCCATTTTATTGTCAGGTCCATCCCCGGGTTTAGAGAGTTAAAGCTAGTATAAAGAAGAGTTAAACAGTGAAGACATAGCCTGTAAGCAAGACGGTATAAGACTGTGAGCTTTTTTTGTACCTTGGGTCTTTGGGTAGTGGCGGGGTCTGGCGTAAAAAAAAAAGAAAAAAAAAACAAAGTGCATGTGATATCCTTATACCTTTCCGCTTACGAAGTAAACGAGTGACAGTGTCAAATGTATATGTGCGGTTTATTCATTTACGACTATTCATTTTATTATCACGTAGACGTTCTTAAAGCATTTTCCGTGAATGTTGCCTCGGTGTGTGTGCCAATATGTGTGTAATATATTGCATGCCGTTTCACGATGTACATGCGTGAACGCCTCACTGATATGACGGGCACGGCTTGTACTGTGATGAGAGTGACGTTACCAAACTAAACCATCAGAGTGTTAAGTAAATCGCGTTCAAAAATAATTCTCAGCCTAGACCTGCTATTGAAACAAGATCTAGCAAAATGTCTTTTGTCAGAATAGCTCATAGCTGAAGTAACTCTTTTTACGTTCGTCATATTAAACAAATCACGCTATGCAAGAGTGGCATAAGGATTAAGTAGTTTTCTTTGAAGACAAGGCTCTCTGGCTCACTTCAGGAAAGGATGCTTTCTCATGCGAAAGATGACAAACATACAACAGCACAAGATAAATGTTGGTTTAATTCATCGTACAGCTATTTTAAGATTTGCTCTTTTACGAATTACATTTGAAAAGATCTTTAAATTATTGTTTCATGTACCAGGTGCACATAGGTTTACTCTTGAGCAGCTTAGTCCAGGTACACAGGAATTGTCATTGTTATTAAAAATTGTCAATAGCTCTGGATCAAGTCATTGTTTTAATACACCCGACACCCCGTAACCTTTACATGTAACCTGTTATTGAACTCGGATATGAGTTGATGGATATGACAATTTCTTCAAAGTTTGAAAAATTACGAGTACAGTGTTTAAATTCCCTACAAAACTGAAAGAAAGTAAGTAGCATCTTTAACTTTTAAACACAATGAGAATTGTATTTACTTCAAAAGAACTGCTAAATTTGTCTGGATGTAATCTGGCATGATATAATGTCCAGCATTTTTAAAGAAAATAATTTCATTCATTTTCAATGATATGATCAAATGAAAAATATTTCCTTTTTGCATGCACTCAAACTCATGTGGATTCAAGCAATTTCATTCAAAAACGTGGTTTTACTTGCCCCTGGTATACCTGACAGTTGAAAATGGATTAACGGCAGCACTGGATCGTTAAAAACAATCTGACGGAACGATGGAATATATTGATAATTATCCCGGGCTATTCCCAAGAGAAAGAGCCCATTCTAATCAACGCTTGAACCTTTTATGTTACGCTTTACTATTTCGAAAATCATGAGCGTGACAAACAGTGATTAGTGTAGTTTTTATCGTTATATACCCTAGAGGCAGCTGCTCTACTTTGCGGAAGTTCTTGCTAACTGGGATAATGATAGCCAACTGACAAGGGTCAGCCTTAGCTGTGTCCTTAGTATTCATTAACTCAGTGAATATCATTTCAAAGCCAAGAAATAGAGAGACCCGACGATGTGTTGCCTTGATCTATGTGTTTATCTGACAACACATAGATACCCACTTGTTTTAAGCCACTGTGGACACAAAAGCAACAGTACCAGTAGGTAAACCATTCAGTTCATTTAAGTATTTTGAAACTTTTTTTTCTTGTAGTTTTACAGGTCATGAAAACAACCTCTATGTTTCTATTCACGTAGCTTCATTAGTACTATTAAGAGAGCTGATGGATGGCGGGGAGGAGGGGGGTCAAATGCCAAATAGTGTCAGTTTTGAACATGTCCCGGAACACGAGATACACAGCGTTCGGAATGGCATACGGTCGCTGACGGTCACTGACGGTTACTGACTTTTGGATAACAGCACATCTCTATTTTCTCATCTGCAAAATTGTCAAACGAAGTTTCATTATATTTAGTTTTTTCTTCATGTCAGTATTATGTTTATTGACAGCGCAGTCTAGTGTTTTCTAATATCTTTTTCTTTTGTATATAAGTCTTCTTTAATATCTTTCTACTGAATTTCTTATAAACCTTTTACGATAGTCTTGTACATTAACATACTTAGAAAAACCAAATGGTTTTATATATTGATTATTTGTTCATGCTTTTTTAATTTTCTCTCTTTCTCCAAATGTTTTTAGCACTATCAATAATTGTACCACATAAAAGTTGTCACATTATCAGTAAAATGATAACGCTGTCGCATAAAAAACGCATCGGAGTTAATTGGCTAACTCGAGCTGATGACGTAAAAGCAGCGCTAGATCTCCCTCACAATCTGATTGCATTCAGCGAGAGGCGCCACGGAGTTGGATCGATCCACTTAGACTGCTATATTCATTGGAAAGAACCCTTGGATACGGATAAAAGTCGGAAACCGATCATTTTCTCACACCAATTAACAAAGCAGCGAAATCGTTGGTTGCCCTATTTACAGAAGTGTGCTCTTGAGTTTGACTAAGACATTATTGTCGCGCTTTTTTCTCCCTTTTCCTTTTCTTTCCTTCTTTTGAGAAGAAGTATGCAGTCGGCAAACAATTTGTTCTGTTTAATTTCCAGGATGTCACATTTTGTAAACAACTTCAAGAAATGACAGTTTTTGACGTCACCTGCTGAGACTCACGTCTTAGACCCTATTTCCACAGATTAGATCGATCTACTTTAGATCGACCTAACTTCCTGGGGGTTCACGCTAAATAGCTGTCACGAAAGTTAATTACCCCCTTACAGCTTGTAGTAGGCGGGACGGACATTTAAGCCGGATTATCTGACAGTAATCTACTGAGACTCCCCGCAGGGATAGATCTATCTAAAAGCTCTGGGAATACAGCCTTAGATTCACTGCACAAAATGTTATGATATCAATTATATTTAGGCCATTATGAAAAAAAGTGTCTCCGCAAACTCAATACTTGTATTATTTTCTGACATGGATAATACACTATATATATATATATATATATATATATATATATATATATATATATATATATATGGGATTGCGTAATAATAATATTTCCTGGAAAACGGTCGACCCTTCTGCGTATGTTTATGTAGATTAGCATCAGTTACTTTCGTAACAGCAACAGATGACGTTTACTAAATAAATTGGAATGCTCGTATTGATCTGGTTTACCCGTTAGAAAATGCTCTTGAAAACAGTTGACACTTGTTAAATATTGCTGGCAGTAGGTCAGAGTGTTTCTTTTGTCCCCACTCCTAGAGAAATTTCATTTTAATGTTTCTGTCAATAAAATTAATTCATTCGCCAAATCTGTCCATCAGAAGATGTCACCGAGATTGCAGGACTGATTAAAGAGGAAAAAGTTAAGGCACAAAAAACCGCCAAATTCATTTACTTTCTACTTTTCGAAATATCCGCTGTCAATCTGTCAATTACATGTAATCGTTCTATCTTCACTTTAAAATCGTGAACTGAAAACCGGTGCAGCCTTAAAGATAGAACAAGAAATAGTGGGTGTAAAAAGTACTACTCGTATATGATTATTTTCAGATGAGAGCCAGATTTATATTAAAAAGTAGTGCTAGAGTTTTTAAAAAAGTTAGCAAAACCTAACGATTTCAGAAATCAGTCGAAAACATGGTATTTAATTGCTGATAGAAAAATGATATTACCGTGTCCTCTTACCATCTGCAAATTGCACGTAGGGCATTCTGTGTATAATATTCTAAATAGTTAAGTAGTTAAGTACTATGTGCAGATATCCTTTCACCATCATCGTCGGCTGTCACTCATTAGAGTATGACGACGGCAACTTTTCTCGTGGGAGACGAGCCCAATGTGGGCAGCACAGGATCTTCCACGGCAGCTAAATGTGTAGCGTTCTCTTGCCGT